TACCATATATTAAATAGGCATGTTAATAAACGAGAATTTGCACGTCGGTATTTTACTTTTTTTTCAACTATCTATTAAGACTAATCCGCCGACAAAACGGCGACATAATATTTGTAAAAAATAAATAAATAAAAGGAATACACTACAATTTTTTTTCCTAAAGCCGCAGTCAGTTTTTTATGTAATCTAAATTACCCTGCTTTAATCCTGCTTACGTCATTTCATTATTGTACCTATAGACCAATGTGTGCGGTTGCAGGGAGCATAATATTATTTCGAATTCTATTCGATTTTTTTTTTTTGTTTTGATTTTGTTATTGTTTCTTGTTGAAAACTGAAAAAAACAATAGTTATCCTTGGACGGAACATAAAAGACGGCAAGAAAAAACAAATAAAACGCGTCTGGTCATTAAATTATTGTGTGAAACATTCGGCCAATTATAATTGATTTTCGTTTGGGCGCGCAAGAAGCGCTAGTTGTTGTATGTTATTATTATTTTTTGGCCATTACAAAACAGCAATTTTTTTTGTTATTCAAAATCGGCTTGTCAAATTGATTAATTGATCATTGTCAAAAATTTCCTAATTGGCAAGTCCAAGACAATGATCACCACGATGACCAACTGACAGTATACATATTACGTGCTGCAGTAAGGGATTTACGGATTGATCATCACTGTTTTTACTTTCGTGCCTAGTTTCACGAAAATCGTTAATGAAACCCGTTCGCATGCGTCGCCTTGAAATAATATTTTCCAATTTTCGACATGAAAAACGTAACTAACATTTCAAAACATTATCTCGTACAGGCACAGTCATATCTTATACTATTGTACAAAATACTTGAACAATTCTCAAATCAACCATTAATATATATTAGCCACATATAACTTATAACACCTATACAGCTGTGTTTTTTTTCTTCTAATATTCAAATCTAATAATCACCATCAATATGCGCGTTAAATAAAAACAAATTCCGTTTTTAAACATTTTTTTTCGTTCTAGTACTTTAGGTGTACTATGGATTTCGTGTTGAGTGCACGCAAATGGAATTCTATTAAAGGTTTCAACACTGGACGTGTTTTAAGTAGGAACGTTACTAAAATTCCAGCTCGTACAGGTGTGCGATAACCTTAATCTAAAAGGTATTTAAAAAATAAAGGTTCACAGGTGATTTTAACAGCACCGTGAATTAAATAAATAATTGAAAAAGCAAATGTAGGTATTTGCCAACATAATATTTTATTGTTATGCGTTACAGCCGTCCAGCCTTTTATACGTAACTGTATTTGACGGGGTCGACACGAAAATAGTTGACAGGTATTTTATTGTCCCATCAGAACATAACTGATCGGTATGTATCCAGTAACAGGTAAAACGGAAATATTTTACTTTTATCTACTATTATTTTTACTATGTATTTTTAATAAATTGATGTTGCAACAATATTATAATTTAAAAAATCACATTTTAGTTTTATTCGGGTTTAGAGGATGTTATTTTTTTATTAAACATACAGCATGCTATGGAAGTTAAGTAGAGGGAATTGAAAATCATTATGATGATGTTGCGAAGCAATTTTTATTGAGGTAAAAGATCATGTATAAATACAAATTAGCTGATGGCCGTCAATAGAAATAAAATGAAATAAAAGCAGTATAATAATCTGATGGTAAACGAACGGTAAGTAGTAAACTATTAAGTGTCCTGTAGAAATACACAAGTGTATATCAAAGTCAATAAAATAATTAATTTTTTAACGTTTATTCATTTTTCCATCAAGTATTGAAAGTAGTGTTTGAAAAAGCAAAAGTATTCGCCAACGTGTATTAAATAAATAAATAATACCATTGTTATGCATATTTCAGCCGTGCGGTCAATATACCTTTATTTGACGGGGCCGACGCGAAAGCGGTTCGAAAATCTGCAGATATTTATTAGATATTGCTCGTCGAACGCGCTCCGTTGTCCGCGACAACAATGGTTCGACGTATCGTTTGTTTTGTTTTTCGTTATTGATATACCGATATTAGATATTATTGCCGAATGCGAACGCGCGTCACGATTTCATTTTCCAAATCCGTTTTAAATTCGCCATATCAATTATGCAGGTATGTCCGCGCGATCGCCGGGAAACACATTATACAGGTAGGTGCCGAGAATGAATTCGCATTAAATTAGCGACGTATTTTAAGGCGGATGAGTGCAGTTAAACAATGACGGGGGAACAATGAAGAAAGGTAAAAGGGAAAACCTTTTAAACATTCTGTGTGCGTCAAACGGTTAGTACGATTGATGAAATAATAATAAAAAAAAAAAATAATAATAATAATAATAAAGTGTACATTTAAATCATAATAACATTTACGTAGGCGTTTTTAGGTGGTGTTCAACACTAAATCGCTTTGATCGTAAAACGTTTTATTCAATATTTAAATATCATTCTGAAAAAAACATGGCGTTCATTCTTATACAGAATTTCGTTAACTCAAAACTAGACGGTTCTATCTATTTTTTTGTACTTACACTATTAGCAACAAATTAAATACTAATACAGCATAATAAAATACGTATAAAATATTTATTTTTTTTTGTTGCATTTTTATTTACTATTTTCATACTAAATCCATCGCTTATGCACTTTTTGTACTTCTAATTTTTCTGCTTGCTGAAATTTTAAAACAATTTCGGTATTATTGATGCATTAGTTTGGTATTAACTGATAAATCAAATGATATATCATCCGTGATGATGTTTGAAAATATTTTTAAAATTCATTATTTTATCTTGAAAGCCTATAAAAAGAGTGGAGTTGTAATGAGTCAATATCATATTTTTTCTAATCTGAAGAAGTGGTAAGTAATTGATTTATTCGAGTACTTACTCGATTATATTTTTAAGTGTCTCGTATCTGCTCAAAACGTAAAATTGTAATTACTTTATGGTCAATTTCACAACACCAACAATAGAATTTAATATACATCCATTTAAAATAAAACGACATTTTAATTTATATGATAAATAATAGTAAAAAATTAAAATAAGTTAGTCATTACTTAAATATATACAATGTACCATAAAACTTTGTATATATTTAGGTAATGATATATATTAATGATATATATATATTTAGTAATTATATGTACCATAAAACTTATAATGCATGTAGATACTTCCATAGGCGTGTTTACGGGAGTGGCCGGATGGGCACTGACCCCCCCGCAGAATTTGCCTCCAACAAAACTGTGCCAGGATAAAATAAAAGTAATGCGATTTGTACTCATTACCTACCGATAGTTTTAGTACTGCACAGTTTAGTGGTAAAATGTATGTATTTTTATTTGAGTTTTAAATGTATTTTTATTATTCATGTCTAAAAAAAATATGTCTCATAATTTAAAAATTTGTTGTGCCCCCTCGGCCACCAAAGTCTGAACACGTCTAGGGATACTTTAAGTTTTAAGTTTTAATCAGTAATATTATGTAGTTATGCTACAACCTATTAGGTACACATTTCTATCAGTATTTTTTTAATAGCTGGACAGTGCGAGTTTCCAGTCAACATGTTGTGTATGTATTATATTTTTACACATTACATGAATATATAATACTGTAATAATATAATAGGTACTGGTGAGATGATAAATCTTATAATTGTATAAAAAAATATCATAAACATTGGTTGATTTAGTCACGTTTTCAATTAGTTATAATATTTTATTTTTATGTTAAATGATTGTTAAACATTAAAATTGTTATTCAAAAAATGAATCAATAATTTAATTTTACTCGAATTACGTTAGTTATTCATCTTAATATCTTGTTTTCAAATATTTATAAATCATTCAAATAATGAAAAACCTGACTTCCAATTTATTCTCAGGATAGTTAAAAAATTAGAAGGAAAAAAGTGAAATAGTTTAAATTTTCGCTTTTATTAAGTGAGTGCACATTTTTCACATTTCAGTTCTTAGCGAAATCTAATTATCTTTTTTTTTTCAGTTTTGTTTAAATATTTTTCAACTCTAATAGCATAAATCAGAAGATAAAATATTAGTTGGTTGAGATATTTTGTCTCTACTAATACCTTCATCCCACATGGTAATAAAGTTTGTAAGGAAATTATTAAAACCTTTGATTATCTAGATATTTTGATTAAAGATGTGTGTAATAATTTAAAATAAGACCCAATTTAGGGCAATGGAGTATTTTTTTTCTTATCAGTACTGATATTACATATAATCCACCAAATTTATATTTATATATTTTAATCTATACGACTCTTAAAACAATAAATAACGTTCAAGTAATGTTTAAATAAATAATAGAAATATATCTTTAAATTAGTAACTTTATAATTATACGGGAATATGAATTATTTTTAAAATAAAATATACAAATAATTCAAACAAAATATAAACAATTTAATGTCTGATATTAAAATATATTTTATTTGATAGCATTTTGAAAATTATTATTTTTTATATTTTTGAAAAATTGTTAATCTTAGACTTAAGTCAATAAAATTAATAACAATGTTGATTCAACAATTTACAATATTACATTAAAATGTATTTATTTATTTCATAGTTGTCATATTACACACATTACATTTGGGATTTTTTAATTAAAACTAAAGTACAATTTGGTATCAAAACAAAACATTAATTAAATACAAAATTGGTTGAAATATAAAAAAATGCACTACAATAATGTACTATAATATAATTAATAAGATTTACTGTTGATAAATTGAGTAAAAAAATCTTATCACTAAATTTAGAATTTATCTTGTGCGTAAAAAGACCCATTCAGCCTAAAAACAATATTTAGTACCACAATAATTATATAAAATAGGTAATCCTTGAGGCTAATAAAATACAATTATATTTAGTAAAATAATCATTTAAAATATAAAAAATAATTAATCAAATTGTAAAATAAATTCAATATATAAAATAAAAAGATACAAAACATAATAGAAATAAAATATGCGATAAAATAATACTGCTTTAGAAATAACATATATTCTAGAGAATAAATGTTTAGACAATGGCAAATTGTTCATGGCCCCACTGAGTTGAGCTTTAAAATATTACATTTGGCATTTAATTTCAATAAAAAAAGAATTATATTCATAATTTTTTTTATTTGACAGTCTTTTTGAAAGGAAAATTGTAAATATTGTCGAGTTTTTAAGAGAAAATAAAGTTTATTACTTTTATCAGCTTACAATTTTAAGACTGAATTAGTAGAAAACTAGATAAAAAATATGTCATCTTTAATATTTTATCAATGTCGTGGTATAAAATGAAGACCCTTGTATAATATAACCATTTTACAAAAGAATATTCAAATAGCTAAGAAAAAAGAAAGTACAAACAAAGTATTACTAAGACAAAAGATATTGTCAATTAAAAAAATTAGCAAGTATGAGATGGTGTCAAAGAAAACTTATAAAAACTATAATAATGTATAAGGATAAAAATAAGTAAATAGTCACTTAAATCAATTTGAAGACTAGAAAATACAATATACCTTTGTTCGTCAAATCACTAATAGTTACAAAGGAAAAAAAATTAAACAGAAGTTTCAGAGTTTAACCTTAGTACAAATCTATTTGATTTTGGGTTAATAACTTCTTCAGTAATACTGAAATGAGGCAGGGTATGTATTGTACACAAAAGTGATATATCATTTTGTCGTAGTTGAAATACTGTCCCATCTTTAAGTGCTCGGGTCAAAAGCTCATTACAAATTAATGACCAAGACTGGAGTGATTTTTGTTCTTTTTCATTCTAGAAGAGAAAAATGAATACAATTAGATAAAACAAAAAAAAAAAAAAACAGACATAAATTATAAAAATGAATTACTTGTAATACTGGAGATGCACTTAAATAAGGTTCTAAAAACGCTTTTGGCGAAGCATCATGAGTTAAACATAAAGCAAGGTGGGACAAAATAGTTTCCACAGTATGCCTAGGCTGTTGTCTGGTTACTCTCAAATACTTTTGAAGAGATCGTGCAATTGTTGGGAAGACGGCTTGAGCAGCTTCATAGGGATCCATGGTAGAACCACCACCTTAAAATAAACAAAATATTAAATTTAGTTCTATTAACTAATACAATTTAAACATAGATAAGCTAATAAGATATATATATAAAATTAAATAATTACCAGGATCATGATGAGAACGTTTTACATGAGTAAATGCTTCCTCAGCAGCTGTTAGGAGTCTAGCTTTTCGCTTTTTTACTCGTCGCTCATAGTCATGTTCTTCATAGAAACGCTCATTATGACTTGAGTCTCGGCGTCTGGCATGGCCATTCATTGTGCCTCTAGACTGACTCATTTGAAGAGTATTACTTCCAATACCTTCGATATCATAAAATTTAAAACTAGAAGCATTCTTTTTAGATTTTGAGACTGGTAAACGCTCCAAGTAAGGGTTGTATATAGAAAATTCAGTATAATATCGTTCAAGAATCCATACTGCAGCTCGTTGAATGCTTAACTGACCAATAGGATATGATCGACTTTCACCATCAGGGCTCCTAACAACCTAAAATAATAATGAAACCAAATACTTTAAATTAATATAATTAAATAATTTATGCGAATTGTTCAATGTATTGAATTATATTTTATGAACAATTATGAAAATAAAAATAATACACAGGGTAAATAATTATTATGAATTTTCTTCTAACAACTATATTAGCTGTTAGATTATATAGATATAGAAAGTAATAGCAAAAAGTGAAAATTAATTGCAAAATATGCCATTTAATATATAAAATGTATTAATTATATTATAAATAATAATGTTTAGAGATAAAATAAAAGTTTATTAAATCTTTTTCTAAGAATAAATTATATAATAAAATAATGAAAATTTAATTTTAGTCATTAAACTTATATTTCTATTTTTTATTTGAGGAAAAGTAAATTAATTAAAATGAAGAACAAAATATATTTAAATATTATCTTATTAATTACAAAATATTAAACGGTAAACAAAATTTTTAAATTCTATAAAATTACAAACACATTTTTACCAATAATTACTATACAAATTAAAATGTTTATAAAGAATTAGATACAATAATTTATTTATTTTTCAATTAGTCAAACATTAAGAACAATTTTTTAAAATGTAATCTAAAAATTTATTTTGCAGTAACAATGTAATTTTTATAATTCAAGTTATAGCTTTATTTGACTTTAACGAATTACCTTTAAATATATATATATAGTATAGTATAGACTTTAAATACGAAAGTTGAAAACTATTATAAAAATGCTGTAAAGAATTTTGTTTTGAGAAAACAAATGTATATAAATTTATGATAAATGAAAAATTAATAAGTATTAACAAGTATTTATATCTATTTGATTGGTAACATATATCCTAGATACTAAATTTAAAATATCTTGCCTAACCCTGGTTATTTAACTATTACTCATAGTTTATTAATTATAAAAATGTATTTCACATTTAATATAATTAACATAAAATGTTTATTTGTTCATTTGTTACTTCTATTAAATAATAAACTAATATATATAAGTTTTAATTTTTAAATAATTACCTTTATGTAAAAAGCAGGCTGAAGATGTCTAATTTCCATTAATACTATGGCAACATAATGTACACAGAGAAGGCAATCACATAAAGATGAAGAATATGATACTAGAGCACGATACTCAAGCAAATCTTCACCCGTAGCTGTGGCTCGGACTCCTAAAAATTTTAATTAATATTACATCATTAAAATATTCACCATTAAAAGGGTTATTGAATTTTATTTTAATAACTATGAAAAGAGGTATTCCAAAACCATGTTAATTATCATAAAATTTTTATATGATATGTATTTCAGTAATTAATAACTTTTTAAAATACTATTTTTTTTTATCTTTATATAGATTTTTCACTAAATTAGATAAACAAAATTGTAAATAGTACTTTAATATGCATTATACATTAATTTTCAATATCAGGTACTATAACACCCAATTTAAAAACTACTGGTTTAAAAAATTAAAGAAAGCAACTAAGTCTTCAAATAATTTTACTATATGAATTTGATAGTTTAATATACACAAGACTAATTGATTAACTTAAAATTTGAGTAGTAAATAAGGAAATAGCTTGATTAATTTATGGAATTTATAACAAAATTAAAAGCTGTTCTATTGAAAAAGCAACAAGTTCATTTATGATTTAACATTTATTTATTGAATAAATTTCAAATTGAATAAAAATTTGAATTTATTTTTAAATTGTACTCAATGTTACTTAAGTATAAAATATTGTATGGTATAAATTTCTCAATTTTAGTGTTTTCAAAAAATAATAAACATTTTGTTATTGTATCAATGTTTTATATATTACATTAAAAACTTATAGGAAAATTAAATTAATTTTTTTTATTTTAAGAATAAATAATTAATAACTAAGTAAATGTTTTAAGAAGAACAAACATACATACCTTCTGTGACTTGAACCACATAAAAAAGCCAAAATGTACCACAACAAATTGATATTAATGCTAATACAATTGCTCTAAATACGTAAATACGAGGCATAGTGGCTTTTACAGGACGTAAAAAAATTGCCCATGATGCCACAGCTAATAAAAACATTTTGAATGCCAGTGAAACTAGCACTCCTTTACATTCTGCACCACAATTTAATAGAGTTTCTCTTTGTTGAGGACTAAGATTTGTAGCTGCAGGACTAAAAAAGCCTAAATGAAAAAATTGGTAAAAATACAATTATATTATATTATCAATTGTTATATAAACTTTACTTAGTATGCAAAAATAATGAAATAATAATGATTATCCTATTTAATATTGCGTTTATAACTTGCATAATTTATCTTAGATTCTCAAGCATAAGTAGTTAAGACTTTGAGTATTACAAGAAATAATTGATCATCCAAAATAAATTATTATACACTTGTACATAATTTTTATAAACATTTACTGATATATAAGATAAAATATTATTATTTAAATATTTGCAGCTAATAACCAGGGATAGGATTTGTATGAAACAGCATGTTTTTTTTTTGCTATGTCTAAATGGAGTTTTAGTGAATAATGTCTACAATTTTTAGTATTCTGATGAAAATGGTGATATTTTTATTTTGCATGTTTTTGCATATATTGAGCTTTATACATATTTAGTATGATCATATTTATTGTATTTGAGCTCGTAATAATTAAACTGATCAAAGTATATAACTTGGTTTTTTTTGTAAATTAATATGTGCGTTGTTTTTTTAAATGTCTCACAAAAAAGGTTTGGGAAAGGTAGGAGCAGTTGACCCCCTCTTAATATCACCCCTTCCCTAAGGTGAAGTCTCAAACACACCACTGATAAAATGTATATTTTATAACTTGTTATTAAATACAAATCCTAGCCTTGTTAATATGAACCAAATATATTGATAAATGGTTAAGATTTTGATAAAAATCTACTGGGATGGAAATAAACGTACTAAATGAATGTTGAAAATATTATGGATAAATTACCTAATTTTGGTAAAACTAGCATAGCCAAAGGGCTAAGAAATGCGACTAGAGACAAAAGTCCTGTCAAGGTATTAGCAATATAACGATGGCACAATAATGGAAAAGCGCTTTTTTGCTCAGTATCTGGCCAAAGAGCACCCATTTCTTCCATTGATCCTGACTGAACAGAAGTGTTTCCAGTAATTGCTGTAGTATTTTCACCCCAATTTTCATCCTATAAAATAAAACAATTATATTATAAATATAAGAATATCAATATTTATATTGATAATAATTTTCATCACAATCTTGTATTTTTGTAAAATATAAAAAATAATGCTTGAAATACTAGAATAAAAATTGTTAAAAAAACATGATATATATGTTACGGTGAATGATGTAAACGTGGTAAAAGACGTCATTCCCCGGTAAATGACATCATTTACCTAAAAATTGGTAAACGTTGTAAATGCAGACATTCTCCGGTTATTGTCGTCAATCACCAGTTTAATTGGAGAATGATGTTTAATACTTTTATGTCGGTGTGAACGATCAGCTTCATTAGTTAAAAATATCATGATGGAAGTAGATAGATAAACGAAAATCCCAACTAGAAATAACGTCGATAACCCGAGTAATAATATGAGATAATCTTTTAGTTTATTAGTTAGTATCGACGGGTATATTATAGCGAGTTGTATTTGCTACGAATGTGTGTTTTATAATATTATTTGCAAAAATTTGTGTCACCAGTGAACAAAATATAATAAAAGTTAGATTCAGTTTTAGTATTTAAGTATGCAGAATAAATTTAAAGCCTAAAAAAAATGTTCAAAGCTTGATGTCGCGACATGTCGATACAACTGTTCGTGTCCCAATACCAGATGTTGATAGAGCACGAGGTTCTCCGCGTAATTTACTTGCTGTTATTTTTTCATACGAAGATGACATGAATAAATTATGTAAGCCAATTTTAATTTGATAATGTTTATTTAATTTAAGTAAAATAAATACCCGAATGTTTGAACCAGATACAGAATATGGGGTGTTGAAACACAAATATACACGAGCACAAATTTCTCCATGTAAAGAAAAATTTCTAGAGCTAGATGAAGCCATCAAAAAAATTAAAGACAGGGAAATAACATTAAGAGAAGCAGCAGGACATGGAATAGCTGGTCATCAAGGATTTAATCAATGCAACTGAAAAACTGGTTGTGGTACTAAAAAATGTGCTTGCAATGCAGCGGAAATGTTGTGCAGTTCAAAATGTCATAGTAACCAAAATTGTACAAATAAATAATTTGTAATATGCACGTATTTTATTATTTTTTTATTTTAACAATAAATCATTATTATAAACAGTACATACCTATAATTAAAAAAACCAGTGTATTATTTGAGATTTATCATCATTTACCACTAGTTTTGGTAAATGACATCAATGACCGGTGAAAGATGTACATTTGAATTTAAAATCTGGTTTTTTACATCATTTACCTACATAATTGAATCATTTTGGTAAAAGACGTCATTCACCGGAGAATGACGACATTCACCAATATTCATCTTTTACCGTAACATATATATATATTTGATTGAGACACCGAACAAGTTTCCTGTACCAATTATTAATTTAATAAAAAAAACATTAGAATTTTAAAATGCAAGTACATACAACAAAAAATGAATTTCATTATTATCCAAATAATTAAATATACCAAGTAAAAATATTAAAATATAATTGAGTAATTACTTGAGGCAATATTTGTACTTCAACAACATCTTGGCCATCTCTGGTATCATCTAACATGACTGTAGTTTGATATGGAGCCATAGTTGATTCATAAGGATTAGTTAAGCTATCAGAATATTTGCGAGCACAGTGAATATTGTTTCTGTACACAAACTTAAGATGTTAAAAATAGTTCATAACTTAATGTAATTTATAAAATACACAATAACGTACTTGTAACTGTTGGATCTATGATTACCATCTGATTTAAGTGTGTGACTCTTGTACTTGGATTTGGAACTATACTCGCTCATGGACCTGATAGACTCGGTGTCCATAATGACTACCCCAAGCAATGCACATCACCTTTAAACACAACAAAAACGAACAGTTCATGCAATTGAATGACGAGAAATAAAAAAATTATTGAAAATGAAACCTAAACAGATGTTCGACACTGGAATATGTACATAACATTGGATTTGAATGAATTGAATATTTGCTTTTTACAATTTTACTTTGACAAAGGCTCAGTGTGTTTTCATGTACGCGTAACACACCCGACATAAGAATATTTAATACATTTAATGCGTAACACGAAGTTAAGACGACATCTTTAAGCTCGGGAAAAAAATGTTACGTCGAGAAAAAATAAAAACAATAATTACCCTGTACATTCGACCATGATTGGAGCGTTGGCTGTGCACGGGGCGCCGAGTGCACACGGCAATAGTAACAGTATTCCGGTGGAAACTATTTTGTTTACATCTAGTGATGTGATGTGATAAATTATATACATATCTCGCGTCCTCGTCCCCACCGCAGTTTGATCGGCGGCGACAGCGCAAACAGTATAATGACCCTGCACTGAAGTCTTGCTGTAAGTGGCGATTTCCCGATTGATAATTTATTTTAAGGTTATGCTTTCCGTACGGATAATTTAGCGTCGGTTCCGTTGGCACCCTGCTGATAACATCCGGGACTGTCAATCGTCCGGACGGCAACCCGTTCGTTCATTTCGTAAAAAACGTTCATCGAAAACAACGTCGCTGTTCGCGGTGGCGTGCGCAGGGGGGATGATGGGGGATATATCCCTTCCCATGGGCTTTTTTTTTAGTCTTTAAAACATTTATTTAAGAAATACGACGGGGCAGTCACGGTTAAATGAATTGGCGTTAATGAACATACGTATCGAGACATTCCATTATCTACAGAACAATTAATGAATTTAGTGAAACAGCCAGAAGGATGAATTTCCGCCTTGATTGCATTTTTTCTTTTTTTGTCTAATAATAAAGAATAAAGATTGAAAATAATATATTTTTATTTATGACATCCCCCCTTACCAAATTCCTGCGCGCGCCACTGGCCGTTCGATCGGATCATTACAATTATCTTGATTTCTTGCGTCACGCGACGCGTTTTTTCTCTGTCGGAACAGTCCGTCAATTCGGTCCCGCCTAGGCTCCGGGTTACGTCTATGTCTAATACGTTACCGTGCACCGCGTCGGCATGATTTGCACTCACTCGAGTACGATAATTTTAGACCTAAGGTCACGACCTTCGAAGATAATCTTGTACAACTTGTCAAGGCGCAAAATTATTCGGGGCTCGCACTAAAACAATCGTGCCCCTTTCTTTTTAAATTTTGTGTATCCTAAACGTAAAGCTTCAACAGCCCTAAACTCACGTGTGCCGATGTTTCATTGCCTGGACGTTATACGGTAAAGGTCGAACAATCGTCAGTAATTTTTTCGTTTGTAATCGCGGCCAAAAATACGGGCGATTGAATTGCGCCCGGTATTTAAACAACTGGAGTCCAAACAGAAATATGGCACCACAGATGAAAATAAATTTTACATCAGGCCCTATTTTTATGTGCACCACGAATGTACAAGTGTGCACTACGGTTTACAAGACAAAAATTAAATAATAAGCCAACTACTAGGAAATTGAGTATTATTGAATTTTTTTAAATTGAATGCATATATATTATGTAATATATTCCTTTTTTTAAGATAATAGCGAGACTAAATTTTCATTTAAAGCAGTAAAATGAAGTGTGCAGTCCGAAATTTTACAAATAATGGGGCCTGTTTTACATTGTATCTGTGTCACTCGATCGCTGAGTCGAGCATTTCATAACATTTCATAATTGTACTTTTACACGTGATCTCTACGATTTTAATTGCGTGCGATATGCTCCAGTTGTAATAATTATGTATCGTTTATTGTCAAATATTAAACAATGAAGTACATTTGAAAAAATAAAAGACATAAAATCAGTCTCACCACTGCAGACTATGGGCCCGTGTGCAGTAATATAACTATTATGCATATTACGTATATTTGTATATTATTATTACCAACTACAATTGTTTTCGAATAGTTGGAGAAATCTGCGCGACTGGATTAGATATTGAAATCGTTTTACTTGACAACTTCAAAATAACTTCGACATCGCTATGGCATTGTAGAAATATATAAAATGGAATGTAATATGTTTATAATAAAGTTTGTAAATACTAAATATAATTTTAGAAAAAATATAGGCACAATCGTATTGACCGTTAATTATACCGGAAAAACATTTGATAAAACATGAAAATGTTGAGCGTCTGGCATTAAATTAAGTATTCTCATCAAATTGTACATATGTTGACTCATTCTACAATTGGTTACATTTCTCTAAATATATTTATAATGTCTATAGACATTCCAAAATGAAAGAAAAATACAGAGTGCTTAGCATAATGATTCAATAATCTGTTTCTTTACAGGGTAACCAAAATTAAATAATGTTTACACTTTATAACCTAGATAATTCAAAAAAAACAAATATACAACACGACATTTTCTGATATTCTGAGATTCAAAACGAACGAAAAAATACTCTGTTGTGTGAAATTTCATTATCTAGATATTCGTCTATCGGATATGGATACGGATAACTCGTGTATGATTCACATCGGAAAAAAACGTTTTCGAATTCGTAGGCATAACTAGAGTAGGTATATTTGGAGGGGGGCTAAAAGTATCTAGATAACACATACTAATGCAGGGCCGGTTGGTGGGGTAGGCGACATAGGCGCACGCCAGGCCCCATTATTTGTAAAATTTCGGACTGCACACTTCATTTTACTGCTTTAAATAAAAATTTAGTCTCGCTATAATCTTAGAAAAAGGAATATATTACATAATATATATGCATTAAATTTAAAAAATTCAATAATACTCATATTTCCTAGTAGTTGGATTATTATTTAATTTTTGTCTTGTAAACCGTAGTGCACACTTGTACATTTGTGGTGCACATTGTGTGTCGGGGTGCATATAAAAATAGGGCCTGGCGCACGCCTATGGCGGCATTTGAAAATTTTATATTATTAATTAATAATTTTTAAAATATTGTGTGTAGTAAAGAATAAATAAATAATTGTGTTATAATATTAATAAATCAAATGACATCTTATAGAAATTGTAATACGAGTCAAATAAGATGTTATAATACACTCATAAAGTATATGCAGGCTCGGAGGAAAGCACAAACAACACAGACCTATGCCTGGGGCGACATTTCCTTGGTAGGTAGTGCCATATTTAGTATAATATGTAGCTACTTAAACTTATGCAAAAACCAAAAACCGTTTTTGAAATACTGATGAGCAAAAATAAATTATTATATATATATATATTTTTAAATAACAAAAATTATAATTGATATGTATCCGGCAATTAACTAAATTCAATTTTGGTTGGGACGCACAAGTCGTACAAGTTTATGTACAATATATAATACACCGAAATTAAACTAATGACAACGTAAATTGACATTTGATTTTCCTCCGAAATGACGTTCGTCGAATGTTGATAATCATAATACACTAGGTCATAGGTTCCCAAAGTGTGCGCCGTGACGTCCCGGTGCGCCGTGATGTCTGTATAAGGGCGCCGCGCCGTCATGAAATACTATTGGATCTAACATTTTCCTTATGATTATTCATGCTATGACTTAGAGAAGGGCGCCCTGAAAAAACCTTAAATCAAAAAGGGCGCCATGAGTCGAAAAACTTTGGGAAGCACTGCACTAGGTATATTATTTTATTTATTATATAAATTATTTATTTTTGGCGCGGCGACACGGTCTTTGCGCTGATGATACTAGCAGAGCCAACGCGTTTTCAATAGTATTGTCTGTAAATTATTTAAAAAGTAAAAATGTTGGATTCATTATTACATCACTTATAAAATTTTTGTGAAGAAAATGACTTAAATTTTAATAAAAAATTGGATTATTTAATTGTAATATAAAATAAAATTCTTATAATTTAATAATATTTATATGTAATTAATTAATTGTCAATAATTGAATAAAAACATTTTTTTTTTTTTGAGATCAAAAACGAAAAGGCGACAAATTTTGATTTTGCCTTGCATACATTTTTTCCAGAGCCGGTTAGTCCGGCCCTGTATTTATGAGAATTAAGCCCTTGCACCACCATCATTTTATTTATGTCCTTACATACAGGGCCGTCCCGAAGATGAAAATCAAGGGGGGGATGAATAATATGAAAAATGCCGACAACAATTTTTTTACTTGTATAAGTAGTATAATTGTAGTAGTAGTATAATTAACTATGTGTTGTCGTATTTTTACTTTTTAATATGTATATATGTGCCGGAATCGCACGTTCTTAAAATTGACAATTTAATCATATATGTATAATAATATTTTATATTGTATAATAATTTAAGTTACATACATTTTATTCGTGTATACACTGTATTACGAATATATAATATTTGTTTTCCGCAAGTAAAATTCGGTCCTTCTAGGCTATAATGAAACAAGTCCGACTGCCGACTGGTGTTTTTATTGGGGGGGGGGGGGGATTGAGACACCATCCCTCAAGACCTTCCTTCGGGACGGCCCTGTTTACAGATACAATCCGTCATTACTCACTGTAGGTACTATAGGTCTAAAGGTTCATTAACTAAGTTATATAGGCATAAGGTTACACTGAGTAACTTAAATTTTCAAATTAAACACAGTTGAATTTCAATAGTTAGAAAATCTCTATAATTCGAAATAGGGCCGGCTCAGGGGATGGCAAGGTGTGCCCAGGCACTAGGCCCTGCACTTTACAACAATTCCACAAATAAAAAATAAAACTTTATTTTACTCTCCAGCAATAAAACTTTAAACTTCATAAATGCGAGCGTACTAAATGATTTGATCATAATATGTATTATTGGGATATAAAACGAGAAACGAGATCTTTCGATAAATATTTTAAGTCGATTACATTTCGAGAAAATTATGGATCTGATGTCCCTAAAAGCCATAAAGAATAGTTTAAAAGTATATAATTTCTAATGGCTCAACAGGTACATGTGAACAAAAGTCACCTTTTATATTTGCAATTGAAGGACATGACCTTCAGGACAACGTATTTATATCTTTAAAAAATGAAAATTCAATAGAAACTTTATTATCTAAAATTTTTTATAATAATCAATCGACAGAGTTCGGAATTTAAGTGAATCTACTCTTGAATCTCCAGTAGGCAATGATTGATTTAGTGGACCCTGGAAATTGGCCAATCCAGTTTAGTCGTGCTGGACATATCAATATAACAAAAAGCGGGCCTTGCATGGTAAATAAGTAATCTAGTGGGCATAACAAATGCTTGAAAACTTATTTATTATTAACGTTTTATTTAAACCTATATTAATGGACTCTAATATTGACAAAATTACATGCCAGTAATAATTCGATATATTTGATACAAGCATCTAGGGCAGTGATTCTCATCTTTTTCTTGTTTATGTCACCCCTAGTCACTAGAATAAAACACTGCGTTACCCTAACATCAAATTAATAAATAATCTTAATTGTGTATTTTAGAATAATTTTTGAAATAACAAACAAAAAAAAAAAAAATTACAGTACACAGAAAAATAATAAGTACAATTAAAAAATTAAAAAAAAAAAAAAAAAAAAGAGAAAAAAATAATAATGATTTGTATGAAAACTGATTAGAAATTAGGCCCTGGTGGTTTATTCAAAGTCGAGGAAGTCAAAGGGGCTAATGGTGAAAAGACCGAGTCTCATATTGTCTTCCAGGATTGTAGAGCTATAATATCTACAGGTATAATAACAGTACATATCTAGCGACTGCAAAATAACGAAAATAACTAACGATCCCGATTAAATCAATAAAATAATCGATAATGCAGTGATTTCGTAAATCAAAATACTGCACTTATTTATCGGATCTAAATAAAATAAAGACACAAACTCAAAGGTATGCTATTTACTAATGTTGGCCAACGATATATTTTTAATTATCGATATCGTATTTTTTTTCTGATATCGTATCGCGATATCGGAAAAATATCGATATCGATTTAAATAACAACATAACAACAAGTTATATTTTATATAATTTAGTTTATTGAAAGCACATTAAAACTATAAAATACATATTATATTAATATATTAGAGTGTAAATTAATTAACTATTATTAATTATTTTGTACTAACTGAATAGTATCCAATGTATTTAATCAAAGTCTAGTTATTGTTTGTTTACTAGGAACAATATACCCAGGTACGGCTATTTCCATAAATTCAAGAAAACCTTTCCCTTCTATAATACTCAAAGGTCTTAAATCTTTAATAACAAATTTCATCAGGCTTTTTGTTATTTCCTTAGTTCGTTTAGTTTTGTTTGATAATTTGGATGGAGTTTGCTTAAAATATGGAATCAAACTGTTTGACGTACTTAGTTTTGTACTTGAACATTGCTGAAAATGTGATTTGAGATTAGTCGTATTTCCACTATAACCCCAACAGCACATTTGCACTTCTTACAAAAAACTTGATTTTTATTTGATATAATTCCCTTTTCATTAACTTTAAATCCAAAATGTTGCCATATATCACTTCTAGCACCAGACAACGGTATTAATTTAAAGTTTTTACTCATTTTATTTAATATAAATATAAAATAAAGTACGAAATAAAATAATTACGACGTCTCATTGCGAGTTAACAACCGGCATTGAATTTAGATTAAATTGTTTAATGTGGATAAGACCATATCATATCATAATTTAGTATCTACTTTACACTTTTATAGATATAATTTTATTATACCTATACTATTTACTCAATTTAATTAAAAATACCGAAAATAATATAATCGTTCGTAAAATCCCGAGCCCCGATTAATCACACCGATATCGTGATATTTTCGATAATTATTTTTAGATATCGGTATCGAAATTATTAAGAAAATATCAACGATATCGATATCGTATCGAATTATCGATATCGTTGGCCAACACTACTATTTACATGATAGTTGTGGCAATATTATTTTATTAAAATTAATTATTTTTTTTATTTTTTCCTTTTCCCTTAGATATTTCAAGTCACCTGTAAACTGCGTCCATATCACCCAAGGGTGACATGTCACTCCGGTTGAGAACCACTGACCTAGGAGGAGTACCCTTTCATATGAAAAATACATTTCGTACCAGGCCTCGCAAATCTTTGAGCCGGCACTGATTCGAAGAAAACACATGTATTTCATTCAAAAATAATTAAATGAGAGACGGTAGTAAACACATTATAATTCGAATATTTTTACGTATCATCTACGAGCTATCCGTAAACAACACAGATTGGGAACCTCTGGATTAGAATTTCTATAGTTGGAATTTATTAATTTAACACAAGCTCAAATAAATATAATTTTAAGTGTTTGCGTGGTTCTACTTACGAACTCGTATTTGGTAAGAACAAAATACCTATTAGTGTATTTTCAAAAAACATTTGGAAGAGGTGGGGTAAAAAATAAGTGATTTTATAGTATTATAAAAATTACAAATAAGGTATGAATTAATTATTTATGACAAAACATTTATAGCTTTTGATCCTTTTTCCTTCTGGGGGGAGAGGGCATCGAGACCCGGGAATATACGCCGCTGTTTATTTAATAATTGCATCGGAAAAATAACGATGTTCGTGCAGTTAAATTTATTTCATAGAATCCCAAACCGTTAAACCGACTCCAACCGTACCACGTATCGTTTATCACCGCCGTAATAAGCCACGACAATATGCGAACAGTTATCGTGATCGAGTGACACGTAGTCAATTTTCGAAATGGGTCCTATACTCCCGTATTCGTAGCCTTTTTTTTTTTTTTTGTCCCTCGACAAATCTTCGAATCAACAGCTCGGTCGTATGAATTTCTCGTACGCGAACGAAACGGAGGGCTACGGGAAAACGTTCGGAACGCAACGGCCCCACGGGTTGTGAAAACGATCTCGGGCGACCGCGAACCGCGCGACGATGACGTGCTACCGGTCGCGCAAATCATTTGCTACGGTCAGCGGACGGCGCGTAGCGCACAGTCGTCCGGCTGGTACAGTGCTGCCACTTCGGGGGGAGTCGGAAAGACCGAGGGAGAGAGAGCGCGCACCGGCCGACAGCGGACGTGCGGACGGGCAGCATCGAAGACCGTCGGGCAGCCAGCAGTAGCAGCGCAGGAGAACTACAGTCGACGACCACTACCTCTACCCGTCACTACTACCACCGCTGGTCCCTTGAGAGCATTACAGTGCATCGCTATATACATACCCGCATTTGTACACACACGTACGTTCATGTGCGCAACACTTACACATCGTATCATCGTATTTAAATATATATATAACCGCGTACGTATACAATAATAGTGCATCGCTCGCGCGCTCGTCTGTGTATGTGTATATATATATATACATATATATATATATATATACACGTTGTGCTCGCGCCGAACGTAATCCGTCCCGTTTTCTCTCCTTCGTCCCGCACCGACCGATCGCCGTTTTAGGTCATTTACCAGTCCGCGGCGCGCGAACACCGAACCCTGCCGCCGCCAATCGTTCGCTCCGGGTCCCGCGACCGACCGGAAAACCTTTTTTTCGAAAGCGCTACAGCGTCAGGCGTGGTGCGTGTCTCTCGCGTTCGGTCGGTCGAAACACGCGATAACCGTTTGCTGTTGCCAGCACGTCGAATCGTGTTATCGTCGGCACGCCGTCCACCGGAACCTCGTATTTCACTCGATATTTTCCTCCCCCTCGACACCGGTAAGTCTACGGTAAGCATCTGTGTTTTGCGTGTGTGTATGACCAACGTGTGTTGCTCCGTGTACACGTACGTGCAGTGCGCTTACCGTTCTTAATTCTAACCTTACTCTTCATCCTTGGACTTGGCTCTGTTATGGGCTAACAACGACAGCTGCTATCTGTTAACACCCGGTTTGTCGCACCGTTCCAAGTCTTCACTGTACGCACCGATCGAATGCCCTCTGTTAGTTTTGCTTTCGGCCCACCTCAATCGATTTACCGTTTGCAACTATCCGGTTCAATAGTGTTTTTTCACCCTCCTAATTTACCAATTGCTTTCCTGCTTGATTTCGGTAAATTTATCTCGTATCGATTTGATTTTGATGGAAAAAAACTGTTCTGTCTAAAATTGAACCTGTATCATGTTACCTCATCATTTTTTATTTATATATTCTTGCCTCAACTATTCTCTAACATATTGTATATGTATATAAATGCTTAATAACTAAATGGAGCTTAATTTCAATTTAATTTTGTTGCATTTAATTAAAACAACATTTCAAATTTATTTACAAGTCAATAGTTTAAATTCATCTCATTAATAATTAATATATTATGCTGTAATTATATTAATACAGTATAGGTTAGGATTGTTTTAATCAACATTTTTGTTCTTAGTCTTTATTTATTGATTACAGGTATCATTTAAATAGATGCACCATTGAAGTTGATTTAACTTACAACGTTTGTGGTTCGTTTAATTGATATGGAGAGTGCACCTACTGTGTCACAAGAGCCTTCTGTTGACAAAGTTACTCAGGTTTGTTGAATGTTTACTACAGTTTAAATTAAAATTTCCGTTCATATTAATTACAATATTTTGCAGGCTAGTAATCAAAAAGATTCACAATGTGCTTCTTCTAATGCTACTATGGAAACATTGTCCAATCCATTAAATACATCTGATAGCACTGAGTTTGTAGCCACTCAAGCTTCTGAGATAGACAGTATAGTTGATTTAAATCTTAACTCTAATGATAAAAACCGTAAGAAGAAAGACCGTCATTTGGCTCAAGCTTTAAAAACAGTATTAAACAGTATGAATTCATTAAGCACACCAGAAGAAAAGTTAGCGGCTTTATGCATTAAATATGCAGATCTAATGGAAGAAAACACTAAGTTAAAAGTAAACAAAATAAATATATTAATTTTTTTTTTTTTGTAGTTATAATATTTTTTAAATTTTTTAAAATTTTTTATTCAGACTGCTTATAAGCAAACTGAAAAAAGGGTAACACAAGCAATTAATGAACGTGATGTAATTAGAGGTGAAATGAATAAAGCAGTATTGACAAGAAGTAGATTGGAGAGTTTGTGTAGAGAACTGCAGAAACAAAATAAAGCAATAAGAGTAAAATTGTTTATTCTTAATTTCAACTTAAATTTAAATTTATTTAATAAAAATATCTTCACAGGAAGAGAGTCTGAAACGTGTAAAAGAAGCCGAAGATAAACGCTTGGAAATGACAAATAAATTTCAAAATACCCTAAGTGAAATAGCTACTGTAATGCAACAAAATAGTGAAAAAAATAACAAGCTTCGAGATGATAATATGGATATGTCTTCTAGGCTTAAAAATGTGTGCGAACAATATGAGCTTAGAGAACAGGTAAATGGCGCTGTAAGCACAAACAATTTATTTATTATTTTTGTACAGTTTTAACTAGGAATTGATTCTTAGTATAGAATACTTGTTAATTGTTGTAGCAAGTAGTTAAGTTAGCTAAACAAATTGAGCTTGAGACCCAATTATGTGATGCTAAACTGGCCAAAGCTACTATGGAAATCAGTGTAGAACGAGAAACTATTTTAAATGAAAAGACTCAATTGTTGAAGGTATGTGTTAAATTATCAATTTTGTTCATACATATCATTATAGTTATGCGTAATAAATTTGTTGGAATTATAATGTTACATTTGCTTATGTATTCTTTTTTATCAATAGGAAATACGACAATATCAAACAAGAATTGAAGAAATGCAGAATACTGAAATAGACTTGCGAAATCAAATATCTTTGTATAATGAGAAATACGAAGAATTTCAAAATGCTTTAGCACGAAGTAATAAAGTTTTTGCTGGATTTAAAGGAGACATGGAATTAGTGAGGAAAAGTAAATCTTTATATAAACTTAAAGTATTTTGATTATTGCTTTTAATTTATAGATGTCAAAAAAAAATAGTTAAACAAGAAAAAGAGTCTGCCAGTTGGAAAATGCGTTATGAACGCTGCCAGCAACTATTAGATGAAATGACCAATGAACGTACTAGAATGATAAGTGATTTGTCTGTAGCAACTCGACAATTAAGTACCTTGCAAAAATTATGCCGAACTCTTCACTCTGAAAGGCAGTCACTTTTATCTAAATTAGAACATGATAAAAAAATGCCAGAATTACCTCCAGATGCAGTATCAGGAGAACTAGCTGATCGTTTTAGTGAAGTCAGCATGTCTGCAGTTGCTGAGTGGTTTTCTCGTCCAGATAATGCAAAATCTAAACGTAATTAAATTTAAACTTTTTGGCTAATTTTATATTTATGTGATGGTCCCATTTCAGCTGATCAGTTAAAAGAAACATTACAGACAGTCATTGAAAACCAGTTTAAATTAACCAAGGATTCAGCTGAGCCACAACTACAAGTAAATGGAGAAGACTTGTCACCTGAATCACCTTCATCAACTCGATCACCTACTTCTGATGAACCAGCTTACGATACTGGTGTAAGTAGTGGTTCATCAGTTAATGGAGACAAAGTAGAATGTGTTGTTGAAAATAAGTCAGTTGATGAAGAGGAGCCCAAAAAAGCTAATACAAAAAAGGCTAAGGTATAATAATATTTAAATAATATTTTGTTTATATATAACATTTGTTTATAATGAATTGTAAATGTTAAACAAAGGGGAAAAATCACTAAAATATTTTTTATATAATTGTAAATGTTTGGGTAGTTCAGATATTTTATTCGAGTGAAATAGTTATATTAAATTTATTATCAATATACCTAACACTTCACTATAAATTTTGATTACCTACTAGTACAAATAAATATTTATAGTTAAAGGATCCTATTTATTTTTTACAAAATGTTGGCAAAGAAAAAGATTTTACCAGCATATTTCATCATTATTTTTGTCATATTTTCGAATAACGTGAATAATTTTTTGGTGTTCTTGTTGTATGTAGTTGAATACTCATTTAATTGAATTCTATATAAACTATGTCATACTTATATATCCATAGAATAGATATTGATTACTATAGAAATGTAATTATATTTTGTATGAATTCTTATTGTAAATAGTAAGCATTTCTATAGCAAAGAGTTTAATTTGGTTAATTAATATGTTTTTATTTATTTATAATCATGCCGGTTAAAGAATTTCATTTAATTATTCAATTAGAGAAAACATATGTTATCCAATGTATTGAACATCGAGTTTTGTAAAAAATTAAAGTATTATATGATTATGATAAAATTATAAAATCTATAATGTAAATTTGTAAATTATTAATTAATGTAATTTTAATAATGAATATCTAAGGAATAAAATAAATCAATGTAATAATGTATAGTTTGTATTATAATTTAAAAGTGAAGTAGACTCTTTCATGAGAAATAGATTGTAGAAATAGATACAGAAGAATACCCATTTTTCATCATGAATTATTAAAAAAAAGGGAACAAGAATCAAAAAAAAAAAAAAAATGTTAAATAACATTTTCTTTATATGTAGTAAATACACAAATATTAAAATATTTATAATTAATTTTTTTCAACCATTGTTGTTTTTTTCTAATCCAATGCATAAATTAAAAAACAGCAATAAATAAAATTATAAAAACTTTTGATTAGGTACTAACAAATTTTTGATTTTAAAATCAATGTAAATTCTTACATTTTAATACCATTTTATTGATTGCATCATCTTAAATTAAAAATGTTGCTTAGTTATCCTTTACTTGATGTACATTACAAACTTTAACCTATTTAGAAAAAAAAAGAAGAGAATACCTGTGTCTTCAATACAATGCCAAATGTAAAAATAAACCAACTGTACATTACATGTCTGTTTGCTATATTTAATTTTCTCAATTGAATGTTTCAGGAAACTCAATCGAAAAGGAAGGCAAAGAAAACGTAGTAATATTTTTCTTTGTTTAACTTGTAGTAGTTCACTTATATTAAATTTATATCTGAATATTGGACCTGTGAATCAGTGTTAATTTTTCACTGAACAAAATTATTATTTTTGTTTTAATTTCAAGCCTTTATTTAATTAAATACTATTAAAGACCATACAATAGTTTTAATTTATAAAATGAGCCATATTTAATATTAATTTAGTACGAAAATAAGTATTTTTATTAACTATTATATTGATACCTATTTACATGTTTTTATTATTACGAGTATAATATCAGTTGTCATTTATTCATTTAGCTTTGCCAATTTTGCTTTTATTATATAAATTTAAAAAAATAAAATAATATGTTATTGACATTAATTAAAGTTTTTTTTTATGTCTAATAATATTGATTAAATAATAAAATATATATTTTCAAAAATATCATAATTAAACTTGTGTTTTTAAAAATACTTCCAGCTTACAATTTTTTGTTTCCTCATGTTATAAATGTTTTTTTAAACATTTTTTCCTTTATGTTATTTATTATTTTTATTCACATAATTTATCTTTTATTATTGTTTTTGTTTGCTAAATGTGTGCTTTTTTATTTGCAAAATTATACTATTTAAATATGCTCAACATTTAAAATATAATCTAACTGATGATATGAATCTTTAAAGGAATATAGAAGTAGCCAATCTAATATTAACCTTTTATTTTTATAAATTTTAATGGATCTTATGAAAATTAGTTAATAGTTTTTACTAATAACTAAATATATTAGATAGCACCCTTTTGTTATCTTTTTCCTGTATAGAAATAATTATTTGCTGTTACATTATTACTATTTTTGGGTTTTCATTCTCTGACATGAATGGTTTAAAGTTAATTATTTTTTTTCTCTTACCTGGGCAATTTAATTGGTAGTTAGATTTGTTAAATATTTCAGGAATATTTCATGCTTCCTTAGTAAATCTGTAATATTGATAATAATATTAAAATAAAATAGAAGGTTATGTAATGTCCATTAATTCATATAATGCAAATCAAAAATTAAACACAGATGTTATCTCAAGAGACCACATTTTAATTATCTTTACAATTTTTCTGTTGTTAAAAATAAACAATTTAAAACAACTTGAAAATAGTGTTTAATGTTATTCAGCAAGTATTGATATTTATGTTGATTTATTTAGTAAATTTGTCTCTTATAGCTCAACAATTTTATTAGTTTGTAGTGGCCTTTAAATATTTTACATAGTTTTTTTTCTTTTAATATTTCAAAGTTTGAAGTATGATAATATTTTCGTGAACATTTTGAAGATTTATTTATTTTTTAAATTAGTTTTGTATCTTCTCAATGTTTTTTCTAGGTCCAGTGTAAATAATAATACATTTTTTTGTTATTTTAATGTATTTTCAATACTAGGTAAAAAAATCAGAATTTAGTGTAACTAAAAAAGTCAATTATATTTATATATTTAATAGATTAAACATTTTACTCAAGATAAAATTGTATTTGAAATGTTGTCACTATATAAATTATCAATAGTGCCAGATTAGTAGTACCTACTACTGAGTATTATCTGATACGTGGGAACTCCGAACTTACATTTTAACTTGATATAACAAGCCTCCAATGAATTCCAACATATCAAATCAAAGGCCAAAATGAAGTTTAAGACATAATTTTTTTGGTAGAAATAAAATGTAATCGTTTAATTGTTCATAATTCTTGAACTATAGTTTTATGCTTTACTTTAGTCGATAACTACATAACTACGATAACTTTATAACTACCAGAATGTCACGCTCTTATTTTGAATTACTAGTGCCAGTTTTGTTCCATTCAAATTTTTCAAATTATTTATTAAATATTCACTCATTTTGTGTATCATATTTACATTCTATACAATATAAGTGTACGAATATATAATTAATTGAAATATGCCTTTAGATTGCATACACAAAGCGCCGTCTAAAAACGTATTATTGTTATCCTCGCGAGTGAAATTGTTTTGCCCGTCTACAATGGACACAATTTTTAATTAATTGCTCGGACTACACCAGTGGCTTACTACCGGGGGTGTGGGAGTGAATCCCCCAACATTTTTTGTGAAGAATTAGTTTCGTTTGAGATGCATATTTTTGGTCAATATATCTGTACATTATCTCACGGGGATCCCTAAGCGTATTTTAGTATTTCCAAGAAAACATTGTAGATAAGGTAGTTTTGTAATTGTTACGACTAACTACTATTTTAATTGGTAATCGTTATCGTATTACCACTGGTTGCGCTTATAAGTATTTCTAATATGGTGTGTTTATGCTCGTGCGCTTTTTCGTTCTTTTGACACGAGCACCACGAGATGAACAAAAAAGCTTGAAACAGCGCATGCTCTTTCGAGTTGGACAGCTACATTTTCGTGACACACGTTACAACGCAATGTTTTTCGCGTTCACTGAGAATCCATTCGCATTACATTGCATTTCACTCTGGCAGCTAAATATCATATCAACAGCTTAATTTTAGCCGAAACAGTTTATCTTTGAAACGATTGTTTTCCCATGCTATTTCTGGTTCAATTATATTCGTATAAAAATTTGCTCTGGACATTCGCGTACGATTTTTAAATAAAACATCTCGTAGAATTGCAAATCATTTGATGATTCCGATATTTTGAGTTTTTAAATAATTTTTGACCCGCAAAGAATGCTTCTTCCTACGTTTTTTATTTGCACTTGCAATAATTAAGTAGACCGCGCTAACACCAAGAAGAACATGTGAATCCGACTAGTTTTTTGTTAACAATCTGGAAGTCGACTGATTTGTGACGTCGTTAGTGAGAACAGAAAAATTATGTATCTATTACATTCAATACCCACACAGCACATGCTGTCCAGTGGTTATTTAATGGATGACCATCACATCCATATTACATCTAGTCCATATGTTACTTCGTATAGATATCGTATAGATATCCATACAAGATAACTTCTGGACTAAATTTACTATGGATATGTTGATCATCTATTAAATATCCACAATATCATTACCGATATGATTCACGCATATGTCGTAATATATATCTATAGCTATAGCTGTAGTGGTATAATATTGATGTAGTATAATTTATATTACTACGATTAATGATAATATAATATGATACCTATGACATTATAATAAAATATAATTTATACTTATATCATATAAATGGTATAACATCAAGAATTTGTTGTATGGTTATTTAGTTATTAAAATAAGTGATATTAATATCTATTCAATTTCTGTGATTACATTTTGTTATGGATCATTGTTTACCGCCACCACTGTAGACTGTAGAGTATCTGAGTAATAAAAATAATAATAAAGTAATAATAAATAGTAATAAAGACCCTATATATGTAGTATAAAGATATGTATATGGTGTGCTACGTGAATGCGGGTAATAACATTTTGCCATTTTCTCCTACTGTCACAACCACACTCGGCGATTGACGTAGTGTAAAGTGTTTCGGTCTTCCTTATCGGATACCACCGATTAACAACATTATTATGGATTATGGATTGATGTTTTTGGGTTTTTCAGATATTATAATTATTGCATACGTTTCCTAGAAACTAAAAATAATATTATAAGAACTGATGAGGCATTCATTCGATATGAGTATGAGGACTCACCAGGGACAATCAATTTTACTAAACATTCCAAATTTTAAACAACCTATTACTAGAATATGTTTGGATTATTTGCATTTAATATGCATCGGTGTACTTAAGAAAATGATCAAATTGTGGATAGAAGGAAAACCAAATTGCAGATATGTACGTTTACCTCATGCTAAAATATTGTTGTTAAACTCAAAATTATTATCTATAAAACGTCATATTACTAATGACTTTTCTCGAAAACCCCAAATTATTGAATTTATTAGTAAATGGAAAGCTACAGAATTGAGACAGTTCCTGTTATACACCTGTCCAGTTATTCTAAAAGATATTTTCATTTGGACTGCCATTATGTAGGCAATTGCAAAGAATAGATATTGATTTAAAAGAAATGATTGGTTTAGCTGAAGATAATGTGAATGCACTTAAACAATTAAGAACAAACATTGAAACCGAGTTTGAAAAAATGTTCATTGAGGTTCAAGTAAATACACAATATTACTTAATTTTTATACCGACATAATTTTCATTAATAGATAAATCCATTATTTTGTTTCTTATATACATATAATTGCAGAATATATTTACTTAATTTTTTTAGAAAACGGCAGAAGTTTTAGATTTTAAAATTGTTGTTAAAAAATTAAATGAAAGGCAAATCTACCGTGCTAATCCACCAATATCTGTAGAAAAATCAGAAGATTATTTCAGAATTACAATTTGCATTCCTTATATTGAGTCATTTATAAACCAACTAGAAATTAGATTCCTAGAGCACCATAATATTTTTAAAGGTTTCTAATAATTTTTACTATTTATTTTTAATACTATTAAAGACTTAATATTCTTGTCAGTATTTTATCATAGTATCAAAATCAAACTAAAAATGTATTTTATGTTATTTAGGTTTTCATTGTTTATTTGCTGAAATCGAAGATTCTATTAAAACAGATTTTGAATCTCTCGTTTCATTCTACTTATCACCTTCTACTCTTATGTCTTCTGCCCATAGTGAACTAAAAATGTGGAAGCTCGTTTAAACGAAAAACCATCAAATGTAATCGATGCATTAAGGCTATGTAATTCAATTATTTTCCCGAGTATTCACATGTTATTAAAAATATTATGTACACTGCCAATATCAACAGCTACCCCAGAAAGAATGTTTTCAAATTTAAAAAGAGTAAAAATTCATTTGAGAAATACAATGAAAGAGTTAAATATTTTTATATTCTATTTTTACTCTAAACTCGAAAAAATATTATTTTCATAGGACAGATTGAATGGACTGACCATGTTGTCAATATATCGTGGAATGCCCTTAACAGCCGAAGAGGTTATTGATGAGTTGGGACGAAAACCAAGAAAATTAGAAATTATTTTATAAGTTTATAATTTATAATAAAATGCATTTTTTAAGAATCTTTGTTTTCTACTATATAATATTTATTTTTTTTAGAGCTTTTAGTATAAACTATTACAGCTCAGTACTAGGTAATATGTTTTTGTTTTTCTATGAAACCCCCCACTGAAAATTGCTGTGTACGCCACTGATTCTACAAATGGACTTGCCGAAAACGATTTAACAGGCAGTATTAGTCAATATCATTTTTAGAATAGCCAATTGCTCATAAAGCGGCTGGTGGATACTGGATTTTGTATGTGGGCAGTGAAATTGCATCATTGCTATATATCTAATTGAATTCAATTGAGAGGTATAATAGTGTTGTATACCGACACGATAAACGAATTTTTATTCATTTTCAATATTTTAATTCTAAATTTAATTATCTACTCGTTTTAATTGATCTCACAAGGAATAATTTCCATATGAAAATATAGTGACGGGGCTTTTCAATGTTCTTTTTTAAACGCGTAGAAATAATGACAAAATATTTGTGTTTGAAAGATATTCCTAAGCCTTTTTAGTTCATATTATCTACTAACGAATTTTTAACAATAAATTATAATTTAACTGGCTCGTGACCTTAAAAAATTAATATTGAAGTATCGAAATACTGAATGAGGAAAACAGTTGTATATTATGACTGTATTTAATGCACTCGTAGCGCGCGGTATCTATATTATGCGAAATCAATAACGATACCCATATCTGAGTAATAAATAATAACAAATAACAATATTTATGCACTTGACGTTTAACGAGCCTTCGGTGAACTGTACGGTAACCTACGTTATAATATCGACGGCAAAAGCACAAGCATGCTTACGGTAGGTGGACAACTTTCAAAATGTTGTAAATGGGCTTTAAAATTTAAGTCTAAGAGTAAGAGTATTTTAACTGATGTCGCTCAAATTAAATGTCATTAGTACTAAATTATTTGGTAGAAAATAAATGATGTTTCGTAATAGAAAAAAATAAAACAAAATGTTCAAAATGTTTGTGCAAAATCTGCTTATGATAATATAACAGCTACAATTGACTACAAAAGTAGAAATCATTATAAATAATTGAAGCTTTCTGAGAAACACATACGAGATTCACGTTTACGAGGAACACATATTAATTGGGGCTAATTATCACGATATGAAATAAAAAAAATTAAAGTTAAGTTTATTTAATTATTTACACATCATAGTTTATTAAAACTTACACGTTTTGTCAAAATAGGGCCCAAAAGTATTCTATATTGTAAACACCCTCTGAAATACAGGGCACGCCTACGAACAGAAGTAATTATCGTCTTCATCAACGTCACAACATGTTATATTGATGTATACGTTGGAGTGTAAAACATTGCAGCTAAACTAGATAAAATAGTTATCCCAATACTGTAAATAATGTAGATTCATAGTTTATTATTTACCGTCACCTGTTTATTGTAATCGTCAACAATATTATTATTTGCTAGGTTGCGGAAAGAGTATGGGACGATTTTTTTTTTGCGATAGAATTTTTTTTTTTTGTTCATTCAATTCTATCGGGTTTTCAGACGCGTTACAGAATACATTCGAATCGACACCGATCTTACACCGTTGCGTTTCGCGTACAACATTGTCTAGGGTACGTTAACGAATGTTGTACTAATTTTGTCGACAGCAGGAGAGGGTTCATGGTTTTAGGTCAAGAGTTCGCATTCAAAAGTTAATTTAAAATACCGCCCGTGTAATTTATGAGCGTCCGTTATTCGGAGGGCGTCCCATGTGCAGAGGCAGTGGCGGACTGGAATAAAAAAGCCCGGGGTGCAAAAACATTTTTAGGGCCCTATCAACATTCTATAAAATAAAAAAACATATAATGCACTTTCTATTTTATTGTCAGCAAATTTTTTTAATGTATTCATTATAGTACATACTTATTTTCTTAAATAAGAAGAATTTCAGTTTTTAAACAATAGGATTGTATAAACTTAATCTTAATAGTGTAAAATAAATTTAATTTTTTTTATAATAGTTACATTTTTATCTTTTGAAAACAATTAATAAACATCTTGTATTATATTTGTGTACATAAAATGTATAATTGTAAATGTTGTAGAACTTTCTGAAATTTTATCAATTATACTTTCTGTATCAGGCAAATAATCGTTTTCTATACTTAGAAGAAGTTGCGCGTTTAATAAATCTTGTTCCATTGTTGAACGTAATCTGTTTTTTATCATTTTTAACTTGGAAAATGCCCTTTCACAATTTGTTTGTGTGCATGCCAGAGTTAATATATATTTATAAAATATATATAAATTTGAATACGCTGTTGAATGCAAATTATATTTTTGTAAAAGTTTAAAAACGCATGGTATGCATTCTTCGCAATCATTTTTTTTAATTTTAGATTTAGAAAAGTCGAAAGATTTATCATCGCCATTGTTGTCATCACTACTTTCATCTTCGATTTGTTCACTATTTACTGGTTCATTTGTTATTAAGTCATCTTTATAGTCGGATAAATTTTCAAAAAGTGCTTTTGAGGATTTTATAATAGTTTTATAAGAACGTGCAAAATGATAAAGTTCTTCTTGTTAATCATCATACTTAAGGTTAACTTTATCAGCTAAAAACTTCAAAATTTCAACCAGACAAATTGAATTAGATTTAATTTCATCAAATCGCCGTGGATCTAAATAAGCTAAAGCATTAATTAGATTTTTATTTTTTTTTTCCAAATCGCTCATTCATAGCCATTCCCGTAACATCATAAATTCTTCTGAATACATTTATATGATATTTTTGGTCAGATGATAAATTTACAGCAGAATCAAAAGCACACTCTCCAGACATTCTTTTTACTTTCTTTTGTCTTTGAACAGGAAATTCGTCTTGTATAAAAATATTTTCAAGAGACTCTGTTCGTTTAGTCATAGTTTTTATAAAAATAGAAACTCGTTGTTTGAGATCATTGTAATTTTTTATATCAGACATAGTTTTTAATACTTTCATGATATGACTTATTTTATTCCACGCAGTAATTTAATCTAATCCTTTTGTTTGTAAATATTTTGACACTGGAGTTGTTGAACTGAACAGTTGGAGAAAAAGAAACGCTGTTATTATAGTTTCATATGAAGTCCAATTTATAATTAACGCTCTTGCATCAGATGCAGTGTGTGGATCTGTATTATCAGCATAAGCAATTGTGTGTAAAGCATCTAATACGTAATAATAATGATTTCTTGAGAGTTCGGTTTCGTTTTGATCCGACCATGTATTAAATATACTTCGTAAAGCATCATCCGCACTGTTCCATCTTGTAGCACCTATCTTTTTTAATTTTCTTAATTTATCTGCACTAGTTTCATTTTCAAAAATAGTATCTGTCCAAACATCGGCACGTTAATATGATTCAGTGAAAAATACAGCAGTTTTATTAATTAAAGAGAAAACATTTTGAGCACAAACACAACATTTTACAGAATCTTGAATGACAAGATTCAAAACATGAGCGTGGCAATGAGTAAATATAGAATTAGGAGCATCTACTTTTAATTGATTTTGTAAACCTTTGTACTTCCCACTCATATTAGATGCTCCGTCAAAAGAATCACTTACAAGTAATTTTAAATCTATGATATGTTTAAATCACATAATTCCTTTTTAATTAATTTGTATTGTGCTTCACTTGTTGCTGATTTTATTGTTGCCATTTTTAAAAGTCTCTCTTGAACCAAGTTTTCACTATTAACATTAACGAATCTTACACAAATACACATTTGATCTTTTACAGTAATATCTTGGGTTGAATCTACTTCTAATGAAAATAATCCAGCTGCAACTACATCCACTGCTATTGCTTTTTGTATTATGTTCCCCATTAGTACAATTATATTTCTAATAGTAGTTTTTGATAAAAATGTAATTAGTGAACCAGGGCCATGTTTCTGAGATGTATTGGCTTCTCTTATTTTTTTCATTTCTGCACTTTTTTTAGAAACTTTATCTACATGAACTCGCATTATTGGATCATATGTAGATAAAAAGTTAACAACTTCTAAAAAATTCCCATGGTTGTTTTGTAAATTATTCAAATCATAAGCAGATTCATAGCGTTTACCTCTAAAATCTACATTTTGTTTTGAGAGTAAAAGTATTCTGTTAATTACACGATGAACTATTTCTCGGTTATTTTTCACAACTAATTCTCTTTCAGTGTTGATAAGATTTTCTACATTCACTCCAGATTTATTTATTAAATAACATGGAGTTGCATCAGAATGTCTCAATGACTTTTCATGTTTGTTGAGTCTTTCGCACAAGTTTTTAATATTAACTACTGAACCAGTACAAAAAGATGTGTTCTTGTCAATAGAAAATGTCATGCATATACTACAATAAACACTTTTATTCTCAACGCAATATGATAACCATTTTCTCTGTAGACTTTCTCCTGTTGGTAATAGTCGAAAATAAACTTTACAAGGATCAAAACTTAGTGACTTAATATCAGAAGGTTGAATTGGATGAAGTTTTAAAAATGCCATCTTTTCATAAATAGAAGAATTATTTAGATTAGGTAGAAAAAATGGATGTAAAATATTTATCTCAAATTCTTCTTTTAATTTCTCATTATAATTTGTTTCATTGGAATAATTTTTAAAAGTAGATAAATCATTTTCAGAATAAGATTTATTTTTTTGGTTAATTGTTGATTCTAAATCATTATATTGTTTTGAAGGGTTATTTAATTCAATTGCTAAGTCATCATCATGATATGATGATGATGATGATGATGATAGAGGCTGTCTTAATTTTAGCTGTGGATCGATTGTACTATCGGTTTTTAAATGGGTTGGTCTTCCAAAAAAATTAAGTTTTGTTTGTTTTAGATCTCTACTCGATAATTGTAATTCTTTCTCAGACCGAATTTTACGTTTTTCAGCTCCACTTTTGTGCTTATAATATTTGTCTGTCATTATAAGCGTATACTTCAATACCAACTCTAAAAAATGAATGTTTCAAATTTGTTAATTTAAATGCATCGTATTCAAAGTATCACAAAAATAAACATCGTTAAGTTAAAAAAAAATGTTGTGGAAATAAAAAAGAGTATTTTGTTTTTATTTCATTAGAATCATCTGTTGGAGTATAAATATAAAATATAAATACAAATATAAAACTTAGATATACTATTTCAGGACAATATTTAATACTAATATAATAATTTGATTTCGATAAAAAATAATAATTTAAAACATTAATGGTTTTTTATATAGGTTATAGGTAGTTAAAATAATGTGGACTAACTTTATTTAAAACAAAATATGAACATATGACTACTGTGTCGTCACAGGCCCGGATTAAGGGTCAATTAATTGTACGAGTATCATATCTATTTTTACCGCGTCGTTGTTATTGATTGTGGTCGGAAGAATAACAACAACGATGACGACCGTTCATTTTATTGTGATTTTATTAAACACTTATGTCATAGAATAATAATTTATTACAGAAATGTCAGTGATCACCGTTTTGTGTTTACTGTTTATGGCAAATTTTTAATATTTTAATTCTCGATTGCTGAAGTGCTGAACGGCCAACGCTGGTATATTTAACCCTTTCAGTCCCGAATTATAACCTGATGAAAAAAAATATTTCAAGTGTTCTTTGCATTAAACAAACTTAAATTAAGAGAAATTTCGAGTTTTGAAATTTTTAGACTACCCAAACTTGAATGTTGGTGACTTATCATTATAATGGCATTGGGCGTTAGATAGAAAAACTTACGTTGCCAATATAATGGCATTTGGGATTTAACATATAACACACTATATAATATAAATAACCTTTAGGCTTTATTCATACTTTATCATCACTAAGCAACAGAATATTCAAAACGAAATAACGAGTAGGTACCCGACGAGTTCGGATAAACAATAAAATTAATGATAACAAATTACGAAGCGGCGAAACGCACGTGCACGGTGCACTATCACAGAATAATATAATTAGTTATCATAAAAAATTTGTATAATATAATACGTATAATCCGGGTCTGCCTGCCGACAATATCTATGTATATTATTTCATAATTATTAATAAATAGAAAAATGTATTGATAGAAAAACTTTTAAAAAATGAGTATAAGTACCTGTTTTTCTAGCAGACAGCAGTCAGTACTTTAGCAGGTCAAACGAAATTGAATAGTTATCAATGAATCGACGTTATCGTCACTCGTCAACGTTATCAGTCGTAATAATATAAAATGTGTGCGAGTGTGTCCATATGAACATAATATGATATGCTATATATATCTTTATAGCATGTGGAAATGTCAGACGATAATAATTAATAATAGAAACATATTATCTTAAATTCCCAAAATGATATACCTACGAAATACGAATTCAATAGTTGGTTATATACTTATGTCTATTTTAATCATTTACAATTTATACTTTTGTATTATTTATTTTAATATTATGTTTTGATAATAAATACAATTAATAATAAGAATAAAATGTGATGGTGGCAAATAATGATAAAGTAATTATTTTTAATATTAAAAACTTTTTTTGTTTTTCTATGGGCCCGGGGTGCGATCGCATTTTAGCACCCCGGGCCAGTCTGCCACTGTGCAGAGGTTTCGTTACGTACCGTAGTACCCGGAAGCGTGCATTGCGCACGCCGATGAAATAGCGACCCCGGTGCACTCGAATGGCGTCGTAAAACGAAAAATCCTAATCGCGTCCCGGGTTTGTCTAAACCATGGGCTCTGAACCTTTGGAAGTACATGCCCCCTTTCATGCTATTGTATAAGGTCAGGCCCTCTCACCGCCACAATATTGAAGTAAAATGATTGTAATAATAATTATATAATCAACATTTCATTAAATTTCAATGAATTTATTTTGTAGAGGAAAAAAAAATTATAAAAATTTCAAATTTTTAAAACAATGTATATCATAATACTAGGTAAATTACATTTTTTTAAACGTTAAATTTTAAACTAATTGCAACTGAATAAAAAGTAATGAGAGTTGAAATTGTTAAAATTTAATTAATTTTTTAATATTTGGCGTCAATTGGCGTATAAATAAACGATAGTGCGCGAAAATAGAAGATAATAAAATTACGCAGTTATGCCTAATAAAATATGAATAATAGGAAATAATGTTTTCAAACATTTATGAAGTTAGCCCCACCAAGTTGACAGATAAACACGAAACCTATGTCAATATATTGCAAATGAATTGGAAATAATTGCAAATTGGTTTTTAAAATAGAAAAAATAGATCCTATAGATAAAATGATAGGTTGGATAGGGTTTCCGCGATTTTTAAGTTGCTCTCAATGTTGTTGCATTACTCCTACGGATTCACCGAACTATTCACTATGAAGCTGTTTTGTAAATCTTAAATTTAATATTTGATAAAATCCTTTTTTCCTTGTAATTTCTGGTTTCTTTTTTTGGAGTAGGAGCAATGATAACATACAGTAAATGTACCATTAATGACATCTACAAATAAAAAAAAAAAATGTTATGAATAAAAATTTTATTATTGTTATTATGAATTTAATATTATGTCTTACTATCATTAATATTAATTTAATTTGTATTTTTTAAGTTACTTATCTAATATCTTTGATTTTTCATCTAATAATTTAAAAATTCTATTCGATTTATATTTGAAGTTTTGATATGTATTCCTGTAGGAAATAGTTAATTGTAATAAATATCGATTTAAAACATTATTTTACAAATAATATAGATTTATAACGCATGTTTTAAATTCTTTAAAAATTTATGATCGTACTCCTTACGTATATATTGCTTCTAATTTTTAAATAAGTTAAACTCCTCCTCAAAATCAGGAAAAATATATAGCGAAAATCAATAATTTTATGAATTCAGAATATTTTCTGAATATTTATAATAAAAAAGATTTTTTTTTTTTTTTTTAAAGTATGAGTAAATAGTCAAAGATTTAAATTAATGTATTATATTACTCACTATTATCTTAATTCATTATCAATCACTGATTACAATGTTATAAAAAATATCCTAAAAGAAAGCATTTTTCAAAACCCCCCCAAAAGAAAATCCTGGATCCGCCACTGAGGTATCGGTATAAAAAAGGAAGAGTAGAGGCTTAAGTTAAATCCGTATCATTTAAGTTTTTTTTTTTACCAAGAGCATATTGTATTGAAAAAAATAGATAGTAATATTTTAATTTAATTACAATAATTAAACAAAAATTGATTTCTCGATGCGAACAATTTATGCCATTGTTATAAACTTGTAATTCCAACGATGATCATTTGTAATGAACGTATAATTCGTTTTTCGCCGGGACTCTATTTCTACCTATTACCTATAATGATTTGTTTCCCCTTTTCCTCCGGGACCCAGTCTACCGAGAAAAAGTGATCTGGCACTCGATTCGCCGTCCACGGGCCCCCTGCGACCGACGACGTCGCGATCGGTTTTTTCCCCGCCCGAAACGCGCGCGCGCCACCGGTGGACGGCCGACGACAGTCGGTGGTCGCGGTAAGAGGACAAAGGCGAGGGCGTTCGGCGGCGGCTCCGCAGAACACGATAGCCACGGAATGGAACTGGTTGTGCCGACGAACGTGACCGCCGCGACGACGTTGGTGCCGACGACTGCGGCGCTCGCGGCGATGCTGTGCTCAAAGTACCTGTCCGTGCTGGGCGTCCACTTCGGCGTGTCCTACACCGTCGGCATGCTGGGCAACGCGGCGGCGCTTTACGTGCTCCGCAGGACCCGCGACGGCGGCCACCGCAAGTACGCGTTCATGTTGCGGTGCCTGATCGTTAACGACGCGGTCGCGCTCAACGGGCTGCTGGCCATGTTCTTCGCGAACGCGTACCGGCCGGGCACGAAGGTGTCCACTGCGTGGACGTGCCGGTCCCGCGTCCTGTTGCGCTTCGTCTCGGTCGAGTCCGGTCCCGCGGTCACCTTCGTCATGGCCGCCGAACGGTGGCTGGCCCTCACCAAGCCGTTCGTATACCAAAAGGTACGTGTGCGGTACCGTGCCGCGGTACACCACTGCACCGGTACGGGTACGATCCGTTCGCGGCGACTTCGGTACCCGAGTGAAAACATCGTGTCGTTGGTCAACGGTTTCGTCGGGCACTCAATCTCGAGTCACGTTGCAAAGCCGTTAACTGTTCTTAACGTCACGGCGTTCGATCGAACCACGTACCCGTATTCCGAATGTTTACCTTCCCGAAATCCGGAGGGGAGGGTTATTCGTAACAAATGTTAATATTTCTCCGCGAGATATCGTACGAATCCGTCTCCTACTTATGCACTCCGACGCGGGTGATACCATCGGCGATTAACACCGAAACACGTATTTTATCATCGGAACGTTTTTGCCGCTCCTGTTCTACGATCTATTCGGAATACGCGTGATCGTTTGAAACGCTTGTGTTCACGTTTAACATCACGATATTCTTACAAAAATGTTTGTACTTTCAGTGCATAAACCTTTGGTTTTTGAAAAAAACGATGTTCGCGCTTTGGTTTGGCGTGTTGTGTCTGGCGTGCGCACCATTTTTCGGGTTCGGCATTTATTGGGATGAGGATTCGTCGACGTGCGTGCGGTACCGACACGCTAAAAAAACTTTAGACGTGATGTACGTTTACGTGTACTTTTCCGTCGGTGAGTATCAACTGCGTACAATAGTATTATCGTGTAATTATAATTTAACTATAACTATAACTATAATTTAATTATAACTCACAATCATCATCGGGTTTCTAGTCCGTTTCCAAAGGTTAAGATAAAAACAAGAACCCATTTTATTTATTACACAACAGTATATATATTAGTTTGATATCCTACTTTTTTTAAAATTTTTTTTATTTTGATATAAAAGTTTTACTGACGATGTTGATGATGATTATAATATATAGTTTGACATTAATAAATATTTGCAGCTGTATAAAAAAAAAAAAAATAATAATAATAATTTCATAATAACATAGTATAAGTTAACAACAAATCAAAGTGTAACATGCAAAATAGAAAATTGTAGACTACAGTTGAAAGTTGCTATTATCCCGTTTGAGCCGTCGTTGTAGAGGAAAATCAGATTAGTGGTAAAATTGCGCTCCTAATTTGGACAATTGTGTTTTAACTTTTATCGATATTTTTTATATAAGTTTTGACTGTGAGAATTTTAAAATCAATGTGAAGTGCCGTGTTTCCGATGAACCATGAGGCATTTGATATTATTCATAATATTTTAGATTGAAATATTTGTATTTTGTTGATAGGGGTAATTGAGGAAGCTCCCCATGCTAGTTTCTAAAGTAATAAGGAACATTTTCAACTTAACTTTGAACTTCGATTTAAAAGAGGGTATAACATCTTAGGTCTTTGATAGCCTTTTTGTAATTTACTTGCTATGTGAGAGTTATATATTATTTAATGTCGATACTTAAATAACATATACAATTAGGCGAATAATATTAATAATATTATATATTAACTTAGTACGAGACTAGCTTATTTGCACAAATATAAAATATGGTGAATATTGTTGAATAATAAATGAAATAATATTATTTACGGAAATAAGCTTTTGTTTAAGACCTCGGTTAGAAGGGTCATTAATGGGCCAATTGCAGAATTTAAATTATAAATAATATGATAGCGCTAACGAGCGCGATGCGTGTGTAAGTAAGACGGTCGACACAGCATTAAGCAATTTTTGAAAAATTATAAAAAAAAACGACAACATTTGTATTATATTGGTTTACGACAAAATCGAATTTTTGTAACTCAAAAAAATTAAATTAAATTTTTAAAAATTTTTCGTACTTGAAGCTTAAAAATCATACTAGATTTTTTTATAAGATTTTCTTTGCAAAATATAGATTTATATTTTAACTAATTTGCATTTATCGATATTAGTTATTTAGTAGTTTCAAAATATTTTTTTTATAGAGTTTGTGTAGTTTATAGGCACTGGGAATTTTTGAATTTCCCAAATGTTGAATGTCTTTTTTCTTTATTAGTTATAATACAAAATATTCATCCTATTTTAATAAGAAATTTGTTTTTATTATTTTATCAACTATTTTTAGAAATATATGTACAGATCCACCCGACTTTTTTTACTCAGAATCTTTTTTTCTAAAGCAATGGCGCATTGGTATTAAGTAGCAAATATAGCAAATAAACAATACAGCAATATCATTCACTTGTTTTTGTAATTCAACTGACCATAGAATCTAATCCCACTTAAGAATTTGCTCTTTTTTTAAAAGTTTGTATTGTAATTATAATCGTTATAAGTATCGTTATTGTAAAACATGAATATGATTATTTCTATGGCTATCGAAAAGAGACCAATAAATTAATGTATAATAATGCTAAAATTATGAGTTTTATGTATTTGATTAAATTTTTTTGGAGGAATATCAGAACATGAGTCATTTTTTATTTACAATTATTTTAATTAGTTAATAGAAGGGGGTAATTGTGATTTCTCTTTCTGGGACATCATTTTCCGCTCAGACAGCGAAATCGCCAGTAGATTTGAGCCGGCTACTATTTAGATACACCCACTTTATCTCATTCCACCACGACGCCCACAAACAATATATTTATTTGTATCGTTTGATCAGTTATTTATTATGAGTACTACTATTATTTTTTATTACAGTAAAAATTGTTCAAAAATATTTTAATATAGGTACTTTGATTCCTGTTTCAGTATTCCAAGTATTCTAAGTACTAAAAGACTTTAGGTAAAGATATTTTATCACTTAAAATATAATTATTTATAATGTTAATTATATATTAAAATATTCTTTCAGAATTTCTTGCAACTCTTAAAATATTTAGGATTGTATATTATTCATAATTTATCTTTACAGTTTTCAATGAAAGTTATTTTTATAGTAATTATGAAAATGAATTGATGTTATGTTGGCTATGAACATAATGCAAATTTTTACGCCCTCTTTAAATTTTCCTTGACTGGGGCCTAGGAAAAATAGTACCGTTGCCTTCTTCCCTGATGATGGCCTTAATAATAAAATACAACATTTTGGTGATTTTAATTTTTTATGATATTTAATAAATTTTAACTTCGGAGTTATAAATGTTAAATTTAATATTGGTTCCTAATACTGCGTTACCATTATTTTTTCACTCAAATTTATAGCGATAAATAAGCAATTTTTATGACACTCTCACTTTTAAATAAATGTCATAATTATTGGCTACTGTATCTTCTACGTTATTTACTATATTTTTATACGAAATAGAATAGTGAGTTAATTAATTTTTAATTTAATAAAATATTAAATAAAATTACAGTATAGCAAAAAATTGAAAAAAAAATGCTCTCCTTTATGAAGGTTTATAAAAAAAATATAATAATAAGAATACTACATTTTTTTTTTAGGTTTATTGCAGTGCTTGTCAACATTATACATGAATTTCAAAGTTATGAGATTATTGAATGTGAAAAACGTAAGTCGGGGAAAGTTATTGACGTGCGCAGTGGCTACCAAGAGAGAAAAATCGTTTAGCTGGCTTATGTTGTTGTTGAGCGTCACGTTTCTCTTTTGTTGGATCCCGCATGTGGTAGTAGAAAATTTTTTTAGTATTTAGAAATAATTTGTAGTTGATTAGCAGTATTGAAACGGTTTTTTTTAATAATAATATTTTTTTTTTTACGTGAGTTATATCAATAAAATTAAAACCTGATTATTCATGTTATAAATGTAGTTTAGCTGAAATTTTTTTCCCACTTCTTAACTATCTTATTTTCTTATTGAGAATTTTCAAGATTCATTTTAGAATTATTTTTAATTTTTATTTTAAAAAGTAAAATTTGAGTTGATTTTCATATATCAGAAATAAAGTAAATATCAAAAGCGCATAATTAACTCGTTTCTATACTTTTTGTTTCAACTATACTATTCTATCATCGTTGAAATCGTATCCAGCTTTAAATGGGTATAATAAATTTAATTTAGATTATAGAAGAAATTCATTGTACCCAAAATGAAAACTAAGACTATAATATCAAATATATTTCATATATTTTTTATCTGTTATTCAACATTTATTGATGACAATGGAAAATCACAAAAATACATAAATATTTTTAATTTAAATCTTAAAATACAGCAGACATGATCAATTTAATTATTTAGTCACTAATTAACACGAGTGTTTAAACATATATAACCGTATTTAATAAAATTATATTTTAGAAAATCTATGTACAAATAACAAATACTTGGTTAATACTTGAAAATTACAAAATCAAAATTAATTCAATTAAATCCCGAAAATTAAAAACATTTTATGCATTGTCAGATGAAATATGAATAAATTATATTTGTATAAAAATAATATAATTTAAAACTTTGATATGAATGATATCGAGAATCATAGTCTGAAACATCAAAAACATATTAATTATTCAATTTTATCATGCTCATCAATCATTCCGAATATATATTCGTAATTGTAAATAAAACCCTTTGGGAAAAGTAATTCGTAAATAAAAAGACTTTAGAGAAAGTAATTGATTTTAATTTATACTAATTGATTAGCCTTTATTCGCTATTACGAGTACTTAAGAATTCTCGTAACATATTTTTGTCACTTTAATTCTAAACTTTTTTTTTTTTAATGTGTCTTCTTTCTGGAGGTTTTTATTGTGTAATAAAATTGTTACTAGTTTGGGTCCAATGTAATTTGGACCCAACCTTCTCGCGTTCCTTCGAAATCAACTCAAATTAATTACTGATTCTATACGATAATGATTTCAAAATAACTAAATAAAATGCATATTTAAATTATATCTTCCGTTTTCGACAGGTGTTAATACCGTTAAACAGGTTAATTGACGACGACAATAAGATGCGTCCATTCAATATTGTTAGTGACATGCTGATTGTGGTTCACATTATATTAGACCCATACTTGTACGTATTGCAGCACTGGAAGTTGATCAGGTCGGCTTTCCTACAACCACATAGTGATGAAAATATTAAAGGTATTGCAGTTATATACCACAGTAGCTCTACGAAAAAGTTATGTGAAGTATCGTAGGTGAAGACATAGTCGGTATATTAATATTTATGATACATTATATTTGTCATGGTGTAATTATAAAATATTGGTTTGGACTAGTGCTCGTCATTACACGTATAATGAATTACACGGGTACATTTGTTCTTATTTTAACGAGATTAAGGTCCGTGTATTCACGATACACGTGCATACTACCCGTGTACCCGACATTACCCGTGCACCTGACATTATCCGTATATGATGTCCGATCAAAATATTCTCGAATTATCGTTCTTAAAAATAGAAAAATTACAGTATCGTAAATGTAAATGTTATTAATTAGATAAATCGTTGTATTTTCAAATAAATCATAAATGTTACGGATAATAATTACACAACCAATGGGTATTAAATACATGAGTATCGGTAAAAAATATCCATGTATTCCAAACACGAATATTAATATTGCTTTTTGATATTTGTCTCCGGGTCACTTGTACACGTGTATTTAGGGACGGCTTCAGAGTCTTGGTTAGGGGGGGGGGGGGGTTAAGTTATAATTTTACAAAATCTTATAACAAAAAGAAAACAACAATTTTTACAACACAAATTCAAGTCGTTTATTTTTAAAATTGATAAAAATATCAATAATATGATCTATTTGATCTAGAATATTTACTTAATAATATAAATTAATTAGACATAATGCTGATAGTCTATCTTCAGTCATCTTTGAACGAAGTCAGGTTTTTAGTCTCTGAAGTGTGGAGAAACTCCTTTCAACCGTCATACTTCTATGGTTCTATCTACATACTTGTGCGTGTCGTATGATAGTCTATATTATAATATGCATTTTTTGTTAATAATATAAATTTTTTTATAAATAAGGTACGGGATTGGGAGGGGCGGCCCCTAGGTCCCCCTGGAACCACCCCTGCATGTATTCTAATAATCATATATGATCACGACGCCCTAGTTTAGACGAATATTTCAATATTATAATTCCATCCGTGTACATTCACAACTATTTGCAATTGTAAAAATTAAACTCCCCCATTAATGGCGAAAATAATGAAAAAAGAAAACAAGTGTATATACTTAGTTTTCAATAAAAATAACTTCATTTACTCATATGTCAATATCAATTAGTAATATTAATAGTTTTTTTTTTTTTTTTTTGTATTTAAGACTTATTAATTTTGATTTTATTTGCAAGTACATTTGAAAGACAAATATTAATAATTGTTAATATTAATGAGATCGTAGTTTATATAAGTTATTTATTATTATTTTAAAATATTCTTTACAATTAGATGTTAGTTAATAAACAATGTTAGCAACAATTGTATTTTTTTTAATGTTTATACCTGCTTTAATGAACTGACATATTTGTTTTAATAGGATCGTTGTATTTAAATATCTTACAAAATAATTAAAAAATATAATGTTTTTATTGTTTAACATTAGTCTTTAAATCAAAAAAGTTACAACGCTTAGAAATGTATACTTATTCTCATAGTCTACTAATTTTTCACTTATGTGTGTGTTACGTTGAAAGTCGATATATGGTAAAATACGTAATTTACCGGTAAATAACGTCTTTTACCAAATTTATTCAATTATGTGGGTGAATTTTGTAAAAAAGAGAATTTTAAATTCAAATTTACTACTTTCACCGGTCAATGACGTAATTTTCTAAGACTGTCGATAAGTTATTATAATTTTCATATATTCATAATAATAAACTAAATTATTATTTTATTATATTAATAGACATTAATTAATAATCATCAATAATCTTAAGGAACCCCTGCTGAAACCAATACTATCCTCGCTGTAAACTTTATATTATTCAATTGCTTATCTATCTGAGTCAATAGCCAATTTCTTTTGGACCTGAACAAATTTTATTGCCATTGGATAATATTTCAATTTAATATCAGACACCCATGAAGTTAATATTTCTTCTAGATCCCTATTCATCTATTAAATTAATTTTTGAGTTTGAATGTGTCGTATATAATAATATAATCTGTGATATTACTACGAGTCAGGATTAACGAATCAACTGTCATAAATTGTGGTTTTACTCAGCTATTTACGTTTATTTTATTTTTGATTAACGAAGCTACGTCACATATAATAATCACTGGGCCTTCATAAATAAGACTCACACTGGTACACGGCATGTTGACCTTACTGAGCCGTGATCGAAAAAAAAGAAAGATTAAATATCTAAATTTACATATACATTTTATCGCTAAATTCAAAAACGGCACCAACCTTAGTATGAGTTAATAAGACTCTTAAGTTAGCTAATTTGCTCTACGTAATTTTCCAACTAAACTGGTAATATATATCTTAAATCAGCGAATATCTACAGTTACAACATTTACTAATTTTCAGCGAAATTATATTATTTATCGGTAAATTATGTCATTTATCACGTTGACGGCTTTCATCGTATCATGTAGATTTTCCACTCAATTTATTTCTATGTAGTTTTTGAAAAATGTTTCTTCTGTTATTTACAACTCTTTTTAGAATTATTGAATTTTATTAAGTATAAAAACAAATCATTTCGGATTTAGTAGTTTATTTATGTTATTACCAATAACCAAATGTTGTTTATTATATCTAAGATAAAAATTTATCTTTGCTTGGTTTTTAATATTTTTTCATTTCAAAAGTAAAGATATTTTAAAGAACATACTTCTACAGTGGCGTGGCGATGTGGGTAATCGAGAGAATGACGCCTCTCAGTTTTTTTTTTTTTTTGTGGGGGGTGAGTGGGAATCGACAAAATATAATTGCCTCTGAAAATTTTGAGTTCACCATGCCATTGTACTTCTACCATAATAAAAACAACTTAATCTATAATATACCTTAAATTTGATTAAAATAAAAATCACAAATCATTTTATAAATAATTTCAAATATTTGAATTCTTATTTAAATAATCTATTCATGTAAAAATAAAATTATATTTGTTTCTAAAATATTATTTAAGCATTTTTAGTGTATACCTATTAACACGATTAAGATTTTGAATGAAGGGAGAAATAAATCAGTTTTACCATGATGTGATTTTATTTTTTTTCTGTTAACATGATTTCAACCAGAAGTATTACACCGATCATTAACACATTTTTTTTTAAAGATTAGATTATATTAGATTATACCTACATAAGTTTAAATTTCATTGAATAAGTTTGTAAGAAAAAAATCATGAGTAGATGATATATTATATTGGTATGATATTATATTCTGTGTACGGAACGAGTGCTGCTTTCAAATTGATATCAGATATTGCAGATTATGCAAGGAATATGAAAAAGAATATATTTCAAACCAATGCACAAGAACGTAAAAATACAAAAACACTTGGTCAGATTTGGATTTGGATTAAGATTTGAATTTGGACACTTAGTGTTTAAAAATGTAAATAAACAAAACCGGATCTAAAATTCGTAATGTAATTTATGACTGGTCCGTGACGCGGTGGAAAAGACCGGCACGCGGAACAGCAAACGTAGGTTAAGGACGACAGTCCACACTTTTGGCAGGTACAATAGAAGCAACGCATGGTGATTTCCGTGGTGTCGGGGCCAGAACGCCCAGACACTTCAGACCCTGATCCTAGTGTTCGTTGTCGGCGTGCTCTGCAACCTGTTGGCACGTGCAGTACTCGGAGTCGCAACAACAAACGACACGTCGTCCACCTGTTGCACTGCCAGTACGCTCAAGACAAGCCCGACGCTGTCCTGCAACTTGATCATGTACGTCATGTCACTGTTCCGGCCTGAAGCGTTCACCAAACAGTGAGCGTGTAAATATCAGGTGGTCCTTGTTTTCTGCAACCCGAGCACCTGTGGCGTGATTTTATTGATGGTCATTGGACGGTGGTCTATACCAAATCGTTTTTCCATCACGAAGTACGTATTATTGTCGCCGCGTCCATACTGTAAATTAATATTATTCGTACATGATTAATTATAAACCGTGTTTTGCTTTTCACATGTTGCTTAACACTTTAAGCGCAATCTAAATAAAATATAAAATTACTATTTCAAGTCGTTTTCCGTCGTTGTTTTTTGGATGACTATTTTTCTGGATTTAGTGAGTAAGCTCATCATTTCAATTTTTTAAATTTCCATAGGAGGAAATGTATCAAATAATTCAATCGTTTATTTTATAATTTAATAGTTAATGGTTTTATAAAAATACAATTTAATCGTGAGAAGGACAAACAATAGACAAAAAATAATTGAAAATCGAAAAAATTAACTGAACTCTTTTGAACTGGTGAGCGTTATTTACAGCAGTGTTTCCTAATCTATGGGTCGAGACCCAAAATTGGGTCACCAAATAATTTTTATGGCGATAAAATAATAAAATGCACCGTAGCTCCACATTTTAAAAATATCTTTAACATCTAAAGTCCGCATGACATAAAATTGTTTGAAATATCTGATGCACTAGAGCTCCACATTTATCAATAAACCTATGTACAAAACATTAATTTTTAAAATATTAGTACTTCGATCGCTACGTTTGCCGGCTCCACTCGCAAACTCGAGTGCCAAGTGCCAAGATTGAGAACGACTAACTTAGATTAAACGCCTCTTAAACAAGTATACCTTACGAACACGTGTGCTAGACTTAGGACTTGGAACCGTCTGATTAAATATACCAATATTTATTGTTTATTGATTATAAGTGATATTATATTTACGGTCAAAAGGTAAATCCTTTCAGTGAGGGTGCAAAACACGGGTGACGATTTGCTGATAACAGTGATCGATGTGTACGGTGATGCGGTCGAAGCAACGAAGCGGAATGGTAGGCAGGAACCGCTACCGAACGAACCGTGGATGAGGACGATGGTTCGCGCGCTCGGTGTTGTGAAGAATGAACTCTAGCAGAAAGTGATCGCCGCCGGATCATGCACAACGTGATCCGCCTGCGATGCCGCAGAAGATGAAACAGTTCACGTTATCGGGCTAATATGTCTAGATCCTTGAAACCCCACCGGCCGTGATCCTGTTGCTCGTCTCCGGCTTGGTCGGCTTGGTTGTACATACTGCGTAGGACCCGGAGCAGTGGTGACGAGCGAAACGTGTTCATGTTGCGCTGTCTGTTTACCACGAACTTCCTGATGCTGGCCTGCAACCTGTTCCTGTATGCCGTGCCGCTGATCCGGTCCGATGTGGTCACTAACTTGTGGGCGTGTAAGCTTCGAGTTGTTCTGTTGTTCTTCGGTCTGTTTTCCTGCAACGCGGTATTATTGATGGCCGTAGAACGGTGAATGGCTCTCACCAAACCGCTTTTCCACAATACGGTACGTAAATCGATATTGTTACCACGTCCGGATTGTATGTACATAAACATTGTATGTGTAATAATATTCATATTTTACGAAGGCAAACATGCGTCAGTCTAATATACAAATTGTATTAAAATTATTTATTACAAATTATTTAATTTTAAACATCAATGGCCAAAAAGTTATCAAATTATCATAATTTATTTGTGTTACCGTCAAAAAATACAAATCAAGTGATCAGTGGGTAAAATTGTGTATAGTGTAACGTAAGCCTTGTTTAGGTATTCATGGTGTAATTATTTTTTAGGATATACATAACGGCAATATGTGACTTGTGTAATAATATTATTGCGTTATTTATTTGCGCTATAGCGCTATAACTTTAGTCATTTCCTTCGATAAACCTATTTCAAATTAATTTTTGATAAGTTCCTTTGTATACAGATTTTAATGTATTATTCATATTAGATAAACATTAAATTTATTGAATTATGTTATATTTTAATCAAAGTATTTTATAGAAATCAATTTATGTTAGTGTATGGTAATTTTATATGTGGATTGTTTTAATATTATGTCTTTTAGACCTTGGAACTCCTTATTGTTAAAATCACTTTCTGTTAAAATGTCATTTATTTTCGAACTCTTCACACTATTTTATAAAAATGATTTAAACATTCTGTATTTCTTATGTTTAATAAGATCAAGTAAAAATGTGATACATACTAAAATGAATTAAAATTATATTTTAAATTTTGTACATAATATTTTCTTTTTGTGGTACTTTTTTTTCTTTGTACAATCATACATACAAATTTGAATAGTATTACACTATTACATACTTTTAAACTTTTAAAATATTAACTTGTACAAATGTGTGTATTTAAAGTAGATGTTTTCAATAAAAATTTTATAGAATTCAACGCATGATGTTCATCGTCATCAGGCTGCTAAATATGTGCATAGACGAAGTGTGCAGTCGCATGATCACGTCAAACGAGTTTGAGGTAGTGATGTTAAAAAGTAGCAGTGACTGCTACTTTTCACAGTGATCCAATGAGTAGCAGTAGCAGTGACTGCTACTCATACATAACAGTGATTTTATTCACACTGTGATGATATCACAAATCTGTTAAGTTGTCCAACTGTGAAAAATATTTAACACTGTGATTTATGAAATAGAGATATGCGACTATTGCTAGTTGCTACTTGCTACTAAAGTTAGGGCACTATATATAATATATTATAGTGCTTTACTATAATACTATACACTTGTGTACATTATATAGTCACAGTGTAGATAAATCGATGTTAAGACTGTAGATACTAAAAATAGTGGGAGATAAATAATTATAACATGGATTGAAATATAATGTAATGTTTTTATTGATAGATAATATATTTCAGATAAATACCATTCATAAAAATGACACATATTAAAACATACAAATTCATTGTTTTAAATAGATATTTATTAATATTATAATATTTGTTAATTTATTATATTAGTCATTATTCATAGGTGTTGGATAATGATTAATATTATGTCACATTTACATTAGGTAAATATTATCTGATATCACGACTAAATAGTAAATAGAGTAGTATTCTAACTAGTGATGGGCATTATCGAACTATTTGATAGTCTAGAACATTTGAATTATTCGATAGTTTTTCAAAATATTCGATTGTATTCGAAAGTATTCGGACTATTCGATAATTTCAAATTATTCAATTATTCAATAGTTTACGAATTCTGAATTATTTAGTAAAATTTGAAATTAGCTTAATTAATGTTTATTTTATTTTGAGATACTTATTCACTAATGTGATAACTCATTACTGATAAGAATAACAATAAAAAAACGTTAACGTTAACGTTTTGATTTTTTATCCGGTATACTCGAATAGTTTATCGTGGAAAAACTATTAGGTCATACAAAATAATATTCGAATAATTTACACATGCCATTACCTGATATTTTATTTTTATGAATGATCAATTTCTTTTGTCTTAATTCTATTTTTACTTTGCAGGTGCAGAAATCAGCAAGAAAGTGAGCGCGATGATTTCTACACATATCGGTTGATGATTCGTACCAATAAAGACATTAATATTCTCCGATTCCGCCAGCTGTTTCATCAAATATATCATTGATATATATATTATATATATATGCGAAAATTGAAAACGAGCGATTACGATACATTAGGTATAATCAATCGAAACTTCGAACTGAGGAATACATTAATTTGCGAGATGCTATTGTTGGTAACTTAGATGGAATAACTAATATCAACGACATCGGTACTTCATATATTCTTCCATCATCATATATTAGTAGCCTACGCCATATGCAAGAATATATTCAAGACGCCATAACTTGTGTGCGCACGTATGCACGACCAAATTTGTTCATTAGATTAACGTGTAATCTAAAGTAGGGTGAAAATAAAATTGCGTTATTGCCAGGTCAAACTGCAATAGATCGGTACGATATCACTACACGTGTTTTCAGACAAAATTTAAAATCGTTGATAAATTTGATTATACATTCCTTTGTATTTGGGAAAACACGTTGCTCGCTGTATTCTGTTGAATAGCCAAAACGAGGTTTGTTACACGCGCACATTTTGATTTGGTTGGACGACAATATACTCTCTGAAGAAATTAATAAAATTATTTCAGCAAAAATTCCAGATCTGAATATTGATCAAGAATTGCACGAGATTGTTACCCCTAACATGATCCATGCGGTGCTATAAACATGACGGCGCCGTGCATGGACAATAGAAAATGTACAAAAAGTTTTCCAAAAAATTGTATAAATGATACAATCACTAATATCGATGGTTATCCATTGTATCGTCTTAGAGACACTGATCATGATGGTCAATCATATAAATTACCCATGTCAAACAATACAACAGTTGACATTGGCAATCACTGGGTGATTCCGTACTCACCAGTGGTGTGTAAAATCTACAAATCACACATAAACTTTGAGCTTTGTAGTTCAGTGAAATCCATAAAATATTTAAGCAAATATGTCCATAAGAGCAGTGATATGACTGTATTTATTGTTCAGGATATTAACGAAAACGAAAACGAGCTATTTTAGCCGTAAAATATCGATGTTGATTTTATTAATTTCAAAATACAACAATCATTGCTCGGAAATGAAATATTGTTCAAATCGATCGACACTGTTACCGATTCAGACAAAGCAGTCATTTACCCTGTTGAATTTTTGAATTTGCTGGATTTACCAGAAATGCCACATTATAACTTGCGATTAAAAATTGGCTCGCCCATTATTTTGCTTCAGAATTTAAATGCACCTAAGCTATGCAACGGTAAATAATTAGTCATAAAAAAAATGTTGGGCAATGTTATTGAAACTACTATTTTGAACTGCATAATATGAAGTTAAAATTGTTCTCCTGCCACAAATCCGTATGATCCCTTCAGATTCACCCATTGCATTCAGACGTCTGCAATTTCCTATTCCCTTGGCATTTGCAATGACTATTAATAAATTGCAAGGTACAACGCGAACACTTTGTACGGTAGGGTAAAAATAAAAATTTCAGAACGCGGACGCTTTGTACTATTATATACATATGATATACATACATTGGTAATGTGGACTGCAGTATAGGTAAAACCACGTAAAACTTTACATACATTATATTATTATAAGTTGAGTTTTTAATGCAGTCCATATTCAAGGTTGTTTTTTTTCATTTATGCCAGTCTGTATGGCGACAAGTTCAACAACTTGGTATCGCAAAATTAAATAAAGAAAACGAACGGATTTCAGTGAAGGGGGGAATAGTTCATTCAAAAAATTAGTTGGAACAACTAATCCGAGTTTTGGACAGTTTTACGGGCAATCCAGTTGGATGAATGTGGAAATAGACTGAATAAGAAACATATATCCAAGGCTAAAGATAGTAAATTATTCGATTTATGTAACCAGCATCAACAAAAACAAATATCTAATTACGAATTTTTAAATTATATTTATTTTATATGTTGTTTTTAGTTTTATTTATAGACTTTTAATTTTTAATTTATATAACAGAAATCTTTGCAATTATATTTTCTATTATAATATAAAACATACCTACTATAAAATGAAATATAAAATTTTACTGTTCATTATATGTATAATATATGCTACGATTAGGTCTAAATCTTAACGCCGCAAATACCATATCGTAGTATATTTGATGGATCATGCTAGTTTTAAAATTTTACCTATACTGTACTCCGCACTACCAATGTATATATAATATATATTATACGTATATAATATGTACAACTGTATATAATATGTATATAATAGTACAAAGTGTCCGCGTTCTGAAATTTTTATTTTTACCCTACCGTACAAAGTGACCGTTTACCAGAAGTTTTAATAGGATATGAAGTGCATGGGTTCAGCTTGTTGTAAATAATATATTATATATTGTTTGAAGTTTCTTACTTTTCTTGGTATCAGCAAAATTTGGGTCTCACGATTCAGAGTACTATATTACTGACTTGGTTTTTTTTTTTACTTTTTTATACATTTAACTAATTAAGATTCAGAATAATAACATAAAAATCGGTATTTATTTTATAACTCGAGTTAGAAAAGTACAAAACGGCTTTTACAATTGTTACAGATCCATCGCATAGAACATAATAATATATTTTATGACCGTGTCGTAGATCTTACACTGGGGGGACGTGACCTCAGTGGCGGCTTTGGTACACGCAGCTGCCAAGCAAGTGCATCTGGTGGGTGTTGGTGATAGTGGATGATAAATTTCACGTTAGAAATCGCGGGCATACTAGCAGCGTGCAGTAACCGACTGGCAGTCAGAACAACCGTACGCGATCGACGAACATCGGATGTCAACATGTCGAATGCGACCACGGCGATTTCGTCGCTGCATTTGGCCACCACTGGCCAGTCCTCATTGTTCCTGGTTCAGGCTATGCTCACCGTCGGCGTATGTGGTAACTTATTGGCTCTGTTTGTCCTTAGCAGGATACGCAACAATTTGGACGGGCGACACAAGTTCCTGCTGCGTTGCATGGCCACCAATGATTTCGTGGCGGAAATCGGCATGCTGGCTGTGACCATCGTGAAGAACGTGTGGCCAGAGATCGGGAACAACGTGTGGAGGTGTCGGCTGATCGTGCTGTTGCGGTTCTTTGGGTTGGGCTCCGGTTGCGTGGCCGTCTTGATGGCTGTCGAACGGTGGCTGGCCATCACCCGCCCGTTTTTCTACCGTATTGTGAGTGCGGTTTGTTCGATGTGTTTTATTGTGACACATTTTATTCGTCAAATGATCCTCGGTATATATACTATTGGGGATCTATTATATTAATTTAAGTTGTATGATATACTTATAGCATATTGATGGTGAGGGGAAGTCGAGGAGAGCTATATCAGTCTCTCGGAATTGCAGAAAAAAATGTTAAGTCTGTTTTTACCTTTTATTATTTCAATTGTATAAGCACATATTATCATTATTTTATGAATTGTTAGTTTCACATTGTCCATTTTATGTATTGTATCTGTTAATTTTCTGTTATTTTGTGTTAGATATTTTATTTTATTTATTTTGTAAATATTAGTAATAATTATGTAAGAACCTATTTCATATCATTTTATTTTATTAATTTTGAAAAATGATAATTAATTTTATGATTTAATTAATTAATGATAATAATTTAATAATACAAATTAAAATTATTTATTAAAATTCTATTTTTTTTTAATTAGTAGAGTTATGAAATTTTATAAGGGGACATTTTCCAGCCACTAAAAATAAAAAAAAATAAATATACTACTCTATTGTGCTGTAAAGTATCTGCGCACAATAAGAAGCACACAGCTTCCTGTACATTTGTGCTATAATATATGCGTAGGCATATATCGCTATACTATAAATATATTCGCATTGATTGATTGATTACTGTGCGTAATGAATAACAATTTTATTATTAGGTGTCCTGACACAAAATGACATGTATATTTTTGTCATTAATTATGCAAATATTTCTTGATAAGATAATTTATTGACTAACAAATAAAACCGATCATTCATAAGGAAAAGTAAGTGGTTTTAAAACGTTCAAGTATTTGATGTCTCCTTTGCACTTATTTGCCATAGCATATGATGCTTTACCGAAGTCTTATATAAATATTTCAAATTGTTAATTTATATATTTTTATTATTTATGATAGTTAAAATATTGTGTGGTTTCAGTATATAACAGAAAACATACTAAAACGAATAATGATCATGCTCTGGTTGACAGTATTATGTCTAGTTTGTGCGCCCTTCTTCGGGTTCGGTATCTACTGGAATAATTCAAAGATGTGTAGCCGTGTTGGCGATGCTAAAGAATCTTTGGACGTGATTTACGCTTACGTGTACTTCAGCGTTGGTAAGCATAAGTGACAGCGTTTAATAAATGACTATCTTTTCAATGATATATTTATATATTTATCCAGGACTAGTTTTTTGCTAGAGGGTCGAAAACAAAATGTTCATAGTGTTATGTTACCGTGTTAAATCTCATAGAGTATAATAATATGTACATATCATACATTTGTAGTTTACCAATGTACCTCATTTTTAGGTTTATTATTTTGCATCGTGATAACCTACTCAAATGTAGACGTTATAATAAAACTGTCTACGAGAGAGAGAATCAATCACAGTAGGTTTAACGAGGTCCGCACAGATGCAGAAAGATTGTTCTGTTGGCTCATGTTATTCTTGTGTGCTTCTTTCGTCGTATGTTGGCTCCCACAATTGGTACGGACAACAGTTTTTAATAATATTTAGAATGATTTAAAAATTAATTTTTTCTCCTCGTAACATATGTTATGTTATAATTTAAAATATAAAGAAATATTGTTAAAAGTAATTGGTTATGCTTAAATATTATAATAGATAAACATGTTTGATAATCATGAATTCATATTGTATATTTAACATAATTTACGGATCATACATATAATCTACATTTTTTTTCACAAAAACAATAATATTGATGAGTGTGTAAAGTAGTAGGGGGATTGCGGAGGATATTTTGTTGAAAAGACAATATCTTATATAGTATACAAAAAATGATTAGCATATATTGTTGTATCAGTTCGTTTTCCACGTGTTGGGTATATATTGCAGTAACAATTATTAAGAAATTAGCAATTAATTATAAAGCTAATAAATTAATAATATTAATAAAATTCTCATAAAATTTAAATTTTAATTAATTATGAATTTTGAATTTCAATTTTTTGAATTTGTTGAATAAATATACTGTTGTTAATTTATTTAGATTAATTACGATGGATAACTCATCTAACATAATTCATCAAAAACTAATTTTGTTTAATATTTAGATAAGATAAAAGATAATGAATTATTTATATAAATAATTTATTCTGATAATTTATCTAGATAATATTTAACACTAGTTAAGGGTGTCTTCTGTCGATGTTAGATGTTGAGAAGTATGCGTGATGATTATTTTGGTGAGTCATGATTTAGATAATTGTGATTGGGAATTTGCATGACACATGAGTGCGTGAGATAAGATTTGGTTATAGTTGTATATTCTGACTCTGTTGATAATAATTATTTGTTTTTTCCTGCTTGAATTATCTGTTTATGTCTATTCGCAAATAAAAATTATACATTTATTTATCCATGGATATTGATTTTGACTGATGTTTTTCATTTTCTCAATTTATTATGTTAATAGTTGGTAATCAATTTAAATTATTTATGTTGTTGGTATTTGTAGCTGAAGCCCCATCATTCGTCATTGTGTTTGTTTTTCATTCCCTGTAATTCCTACATGATATTCTGATATTCTACAAATGTCTCATCTTATGTATTCAATATAATTAACAAGCATTTTTCATTAACATTGTAATCAATGATATTGTGAATAAATAATTAAATAGCTAAATATCGTATTTTGTATTTCTTTAGCTGTCAATTCTGCTTGCCCAATTTTGTCAAAACGCATCACTGCTGAAATGGTACAATAAAATTGCTGACTTGTTGTTGGTGCTACATTTCTCGTTGGATCCTTATTTGTACGTACTACAACGATGGAAGCTGGTCAGATCGACTTTAATATGGTCAAAGTATACAAGAGATAACATGGCCGGGGTAATGCAGCTGTGTCCAAATGCACAGTCATCGGTTTAATCTTGGCCAACGGCGTTTTGCTTCCTATGACCGTATAGAGAGAGAGAGAGAGTGGGGGATAAATGAAACCACCATCGTCCTCTTCCCCCGATCCATCCAACCAAAATTCTTCATGTGTTCTACTACACATTCGAAACCCATGTTATTAATATAAATACAAAAAATAAACTTGGGATCGATGGTCTCGGTCATTAAAGGCTTTCTTTAAAAAAAAAAAATTGTTTTAATGTTTATATACATATTTTTAATATATGTGATAAGGTTTTGATTGGAATATGAGCATAAAGTGGCCGGTAAATGGCATTTTTTGCAATTGTTTTGATTTGACTTTGTTGTTTTTAATTTTTATACTTTACTCATAAATATTTTAGTCTTTGTGTATTTATTTCGTAATTTTTGTTTAATGAAGTACTTGTACAATCCATTTAAAAGAATGAACCATGAAATTGATGGCTTGAATTATTTTTTATGATATAACATCATTTTTTGTGTATTTAGATATATTTAAAATAAATGGTTCAATATTGAAATTTAATATAATATTAAAAAAGTAAATTAAAATTCAGTAAATGGTAAATACTCGTATATAAATTAACATTTATATATAGACATTTGATTAAAAATGGTAGCATAATATATTATTGTTTTCTTTGGTTTTTAACTTTCGATTTAAATTTTTCAAATTTGTTGAATAAATATACTTTTATTAATTTATCTAGATGAATTATGATAGATGAGTCATGAATTCATCTAAGATAATTCATCAAATAACTAATTATGTTTATTATTTATATAAGATAATTAATTATTTATCTAAATAATTTATTCAGATAATTAATCTATATAATTCTTCACACTAGCTAAAGGTTTCTTCTGTTGATGTTAGGTATTGAAAAGTGGGCGTGATGAGTATTTTGGTTAGTCGATGATGATTTAGGCGATTGTGATAGGGAATTTGCATATAACACAAGAGTGCGTGATATTAGATTTGGTTATAATAGTCTATTCTGACTCTGTTAATAATAATTATTTGTTTTATCCCACTTGAATTATCTGTGTATGTCCATTTGGATATTGAGTTTGATTGATATGTCTTAATTTTTTCTCAAATATGGTGGACTCTTGATGGTTTTCCATGTTTTTTTTATTAGTTTTTGAACATAATTTATTTTTTTAATAATTGGTAATTAATTTAAATTGTTAAACTATGTTGGCAAACGACGTTTTGCTTCCTATGACCGTTGTTAAAGAGAGAGAGAGTGGGAAAGAAATGAAGCCACCATCGTCCTCCTTCCCCAAAAAAATAAATTTCATGTAATATTGTAATATAATAAGTATTGTATATTAAATATTGTATTTTAGTGACAAATGCCACTAAGCGTGAACCTGGACTTTTGGCGACTTAAATTAAAGAGGACGCATAATCTTACCTTAAATAAGAAGGGGGACTCCATCCCCCTCCGTCCCCACCACTTTAACCACTGGTTGTAAACCATAAATTATAACAGTTACGTAATATAAAAATACAATAAAATAACATATTTAGCCTACAATTTTAAATATTTCTGTTGAGTGGATATTTATTATTTTTATAGTATGAAAACTAGAATTATTTTAAAAGTATTCGGAATACTTTTGAAGTATTCTAAATAATGTATTCGGAATATAATTTGTATAAAGTATTTGAATACATATTCAGATTACTATTTTTTTAAGTATTCGAGTATTTATTCTAAATACTTTTAAAAAGTATTTTACCCAAGTCTGGTGTACATGTTGACTAGTATGCATGTATCCGATGTGTATAAAGCAATTATTTATAGCGATTATTTGACCATCGCCTATGCTGTCGAACAAAGTCTCATACTGTCATTTGTTGCATATCATCATTAATTTACAATATTTTAATTAAAAATGTTTCTGATTAGAGAACATAACATTTCGTCTATTGAAACGAACAATGATCATTTTTTGGTTACTGTCGTTGAGTGTGGCGGGTTATTAAATTATTAAAATCGGTATTTATTGGGATAAGGTGTTTTCGGTGTGTGTTCATAATCGGAACGCTAAGAGATTTTGGACGTGATGTACGCTTACTTGATTTTCATCTTAGGTGAGTATATATTATGGAAAAATGATATAAGTAAAATTATGTTACATTAAACAGTATCCAGTTTATCTATAACATAATATCTGTAATAACCCAAAAGTATAAAAATAAAATAAGTAAGTATATAGGTGTGTGATGCGAAGGGGTATGAATGGGTTATTACCTTCCTCCTTGTTTAAGGGAGGGCTCTCGGGGTTGAGAAGGTTCGAGAGCCGATCAGTGCAATTGTGCAGTCTGCCAAGCTAAATAAAACAGCACTTACCTGTTCGCCGTAGAACTTCTGATGTCGACGTGAGGTTGAACAAGAAAGAACAAATGCAAAGTTTAATGGCACCAGAACTGGGTATTCTTCAACACTCGTACGAAGAACGCAAGTCGAACAGATTCAATATTTTTTTTTCTTTTATTTGAGTTAAACTTGAATGATTCAAAACAAATCGCGTATGTAAATATGCAAATCGTTGGTCGTTGATCTTATGATCGGTGCGCATGCACTGACGATCTAAGATTGAGGATTCTGTGTGTGTGTCCCTGTTATATAGGCACACGCGGCGGCATGGACCTTGAGCCTGTCCTTTTAATGTAGGGATGTCAATACTACTATTGTTCGACCCGTGTCGTTCGTGCGGGTATCGAAGATACCGTTATTTATTTGAAAGGATTTAAAAATAACGTACATATATATTGTATACATAATAAAATATTTGTGCCGTCTTTAATAGTCGAATGATGCACATCATTACATATCTAATATTGGTTAATTACAAGGAACCGAAATCGACAGTATATTTTTTTGTTAATAATTGTGTTTAGATTTCTGCTACCTTTAAGAATCCTATATGCGTCACAATAGTGTACTCAAATTTGGCCGTAATAAAAGTTCTGTCCACGAAAGGCAGTCTTTTCGAGAAGTATAGCACTATTTAGCGACGCATATACAGTAAAAATGTGTTGGCACGTGAAACGACCACCCGAGAAGAAATGGCGTTCGGGTGGTTTATGATTTTTTTGTGCATCGCCTTTGTCAGTTGTTGGTTACCTATTATGGTAACGCTTAACTATACATATATTTGTGTATATTATATAATTTGTTTGTCACAATAAAAATAGATTCATAACATAACCTGTTATCTTAGACCAAATAAAAAGTTCATCGCTTAGAATCTTTTTGAACTTACCAAACATTAAATCTCGTTTATTGTACTCAATAGATACTGATACCATTGAATAGGCTAATTGACAATTATACATTTATGTAACCGTTTAACATTATGGCTGACCTGTTATTGATTGTACATTGTTTGCTGGATCCATGCCTATATGTGTTAAAGAACTGCTCGTGTGTCAAGTTAATTTTACTAAAGTTGAAGGATGAAGAAACTATAAAGTGTAGCGTTGTGGCCTACAGTAAACCAACATAAATTCCAAAAACAGTTACAAATTCGTGTTGCCAGTCGGTAGATCGTAAGTATTGTAAAATTTTTATTTTATTTTTATTTATAATTTTTTTATTTTAAATTTTTTATTTTTTCTATTGTCTTGGTATTAATTGTATTTTATTAACGCTATTATGTTTGTTAATCTAATATTTTAGATATTTAATCATCAAATTATAATATCTTCGTATATTTAATTATACTTTATGCAAATTTCAGATTTTGTGTGAAGCTAAGAATGTATTATTTACCTATGTTATACTATGATTATTAAAGCTGTTTAAATCACGATCTGCCAAAGTTACTGTGAGTTTTATCTAAAAGGAATAATTCTTGACTTTATAATTAAGAATATGCCATAAGAAATACTATTCTGTTGTAATTAATAGCTTTTCCTAATGAAATTATTAGTTTTTAATAACCATTATTCAATAAAACATCTTAGTTTCTCGTTATCTACAATGAATTTGGACGACCCATTAAAAATACATTCTTCTGAAGTAATGCACCAATCTCATTGGATGAGCCATTTACTGTTTAAATTTTTTTTTTTTAATTTATATTCTTTATCTTTTTTTGAAAAAAAAAGGATATTTGTGATATTTTTGTTATTATTTAGTTATTATGTAAGTCATAAATCCATTATATAAAAAGCTAATTAATTTTTTTTTTTAAAAAAACACTGGCCTTCTTTATATCTAAGAACAGTATGTAATTTTTTTTCTGGATTTTAAATAAATATAGACTTTTTTAATGATGACTCGAGTACAAGGAACAACCAAATTAATTATTTACACAGAAAAATAATTATATGTCCGCTAAATTTAATAAATGATACAGCGGAAGAGTGAAATTTATGGACGATTTTCATAGAAGTTTCACCAAATATGATAAGAAGTCTGAGTTGCTCTTGATCGTGTCCAAGTACGTAGAAGATTATTAATACCCTGACTGTAAATAGAAAATGTTGAAAAAATAATTTAAATTAATTTAGTACTCGTATTGTAATGTATAATTACATTTTGAGAAAATACTATTTTTGTACATCAAAGTCAATATAAATTATAATAAATAAGAAGAAATATATAAGAAAATAATTTATACACAATTTTAATTTATTTAAAACATTTAATAATGCCTATATTTCAATGTTCCTACCTATAAATGATATAAAAAAAAAATTAAATATACCTACCATTAAATTAGGAATTAATTAATACACTCAAATTTTAAATTTAAGTCGGTACAAGTTAACCATAATAGATTAACTTAAAATTGTTTTGGCTAATTTTTTAATGCATATACACACATTTAGTGAGTGAGACTGAAGAAATATTGAGATTGATAAATGACGACCACCCCTTATAATAATATGTGTTATCTGCTTTTATACATTTAAAAAACGTTTCTCTTAAATTTCAGCCAACATTATTTTAATGAAGTAATTAATAGTTTTGTAATTTATCTAATTTTCTATTTTTTGACAGTTGACAATTTGATATATTTTTATTAATAATAATAATTATGTTTTTATATAATCAGTAAATAGTTTGTATACTTTTATTTATTTTAATGTGATTAATTAATTTTAATACTTATTTTATAGCTATGCTTATGACTTACTTGAATTTGGCTGTCTCAAAGGGTACTTTTGGATGCCAGTAGTATGCATCGAATAATATATATAATACATATTGTTGGAAGATTTTCACTTTTCTTGGTATCAGCATCTTATCCTTCCAAAAATCGAAATGACAAAAAATCTATCACTTCAATGATTAACCTCATTTATAAATTAAAATTAAAACAATATTTTTATTTTAAATTAAAATTATATCAAAATTAAATTGTATATATTGATAATGATAATTGCTTAAATTAGAATTGTATCTCGCATTGCATTAAATTCTTGAATAATACCTATGTATTTGGCTCATAAAAAATACACAACGCTGATTTTAATCATTGACTTTCATACAATACGGGTTATCATCTTATCTATGGAATCCCCGATAATGTATTTTAGTATTCATATACAAGTATATTGCATATGTACTGTTTGTATTTAAATCGTATTATTGTGATTTGTAATTTAGAGAATGTTAAGGATGTTTCACATGTTTTCTTAGAAAAAAAAACAATTTAGCTTAAATATGGTAGTATATATAACGTTATGAATATTTGCAGTTAGTATCATAATAGTGTATCGTATTCACGGATCAATAATTACACTGTTTAAACCATAAGAAAAAAAGATAATTTATTTTCATTCATAATAGGAATCGTTAAATCATAATAATTATATTATTATTAATATTACATAATAATATCTATCCGTACTCGGTTGCTTTAATCCTGCTGTTGGCAAAATGCGAAGGAAAATATAATATAATGCTATAATTTATAATTTTCTAGAGTAAACATTATATTCATATTATATCGCATACGAATATAATTAATCACAGATCGCTACATAATCGACCAGAAGAAAACATGACGTGAGAAAGACAAGGACGTTAGTGAACAAAAAAACATTTTAAATGTTATGTAACAAAAATACACTTATTTATGTGTATATAGAATCGAAAAATGTTCTTCATGTATTCTCGTACTTTTATAATATTTCACGGATAATAAAAGAATTTAACTACTATAACAAACAAATTTTGAAAAGAAAATCAATAACATTAATAATACTTGACATATTAATATTATGTTTTAAAATAGTTTTCAAACGTTTATGTTAACTTTTATATCTTTATTATCCTAATTATATTTTAATCTTCCATTAACATATTATGTATGAATGTATGTTAATGTTAATGTATTCAATGGTAATCACTAAAAACTATTTAACCAATATTTCACTGAAATTATTAGTTGTTTGTCTAATTTTCAAGACACATCAATAAATTGGCGATTTTTTAATATACTGTGACGTTGGTTTTCATCTTATCAATAATTTTCTCGAGTTCAATCATACATTTATTATTATTTATTATTATACATCACACAATCAAAATTTACAAATGCATGTTATTACATTTTGTTAGGCGTTGCACGTATAAATATGGTATAGAGTATTATAAATTATGCTATTGGTCATTCCAATACTATACATTAATCGGCTGTGAAAATATCAAAAATACCGATGTGTTGTATACTTAACGGTAGTCTAGAGTTGTTTATTTATTTTTTCTTGATGCAGTCGTCGGGATTCTAAATATGTTACGGGTAATATATTGACCTTGTGTAGTTTAAAATTTATTTTCACTTTTTTTTTTTAACATAGAAATGCTTTGGACAGTCTATAGGTCAAATCGAATATCTTATACGCATTAGCATCAACAAGATAAATTTGATCATAGTTATTACATAATGATTTTAAAACTTAATTGTGTTTTATGTAAATTATAGTAATGTACGCATGTAATAATGTTAGGAAATCGAATTTGAAACGTAAAAGAAATATTCTTCCATTATACGCATTAAGATATAGAAGTATATTAATGCATGCATATAATAATGTAAAGGAATAGAATTAGATAAGTGGAAAAATAAATATTCATTAATTTTGTTATGCACTTAAAAGTAGTCGTAGTGAGATCAATTTCAATAAGTTCATGAATAATATAAAAATATCGTACCCAGAATATGATTAACTGCACTGAAGTTTGCGTCATCGGTTTTTTTTTATCAATAAAAACAACATAAATGCAGCTTTTAATGTACAATAAATTATTTTTCAAATAGTTTTATGAATGTCAGAATAAATCTTGATAGTTTAAATGATGGTTTACACAATTCGGAGTATTAAGTTATTTTTTTTTAGCTTTTCAAACATTTCATTAATTGAGATCGAGAACAACAATAAAGTTGTCGGTATTTATTTTGTTACTCGAGTTAGAAAATAATAAAACATATCCCTCGTAGAGGAGTAAACTATTTCTCCAGTACATGGAATAATAATGAAATGTTCGGAAAAACGGTTTTTAAAACTCTTACAGACCCGTCGTGTAGAACATAATACTATAATTTATGACGGTGTCGCAGTTCTAATACCGGGGGACGTGACCTTAGTGGCGGCTTTGGTACGCGCGGCCGCCCAGCAAGTGCATCCGGCGGGTGTTGGTGGGGGTGGCTATGAAATCTCACGTATGAAATCGCGGGCGGACTAGTAGTGTGCAGTCACCGACTAGCAGCCAGGACGTATCGTATGCGATCGCCGAACACCGGGTGCCACCATGTCGAATGCGACCGCGGCGATGTCGTCGCCGGACTCGACCACCGCTGGCAAGTCCCCCTCGTTCCTGATCCTGGCCATGCTCACCGTCGGCGTGTGCGGAAACCTGTTGGCCCTGTTCGTCCTTAGCAGGATCCGTAACAACTTGGACCGGCGACACAAGTTCCTGCTGCGTTGCCTGGCCACCAACGACTGCGTGGCTGTCGCCGGCATGCTGGCCGCGACCATCGTAAGGACCGCGTGGCCGCAGACTGTGAATAATGTGTGGACGTGCCGGCAGATCGTGCTGTGGCGGTTCTTCGGGTTGGGCTCCGGTTGCGTGGCTGTCCTGATGGCCGTTGAACGGTGGCTGGCCATCACCCGGCCGTTTTTCTACCAAAAGGTGAGAACCGCGGCGGATCGTTGTGTTTTATTGTTACAATGCGGTATATGACATGCTGTATATGGTCGGCGGGATATTAGGCACTTGAAGTAAAAGACCGAAGACTTGACGCGACCGCTCGCGTTCAAGCACACCGTAAGCGTCGATATGTATCAAAATCAATTGTGACCCGCGGACCGGTTTGAGTCGAAGTTCGGTGAACAGAGTTTTCCATTCTTTTTGACAACCCGTGGTGTTCGGTGAAAATCGTTTAGTGTTTTAACCAGTGGTGTACATAGGGGGGAGGACTCTTAAGCTCGAGCTCACACTGAAATTTCTGGGTTGATTTAAATATTTTTATGCGTATTACTTTATATACATATATAATATATTACGTATTGAACAAGGGAACATTTGAATTTTCGATATTTGCATTGATGACAGTTAACCGTAAAATATTTATAAGTATCAAGGAAATAAGTTATTAAGTTTATTATTTTTATTAAAAGTTATTGAAAAATTAATTGTACATATGACTCACATAATGAATCAATTTCCATGTGGTTTCCTCAAAAAAATTTTAAGTTTATCTAGTTTTAAAAAATTCTTAAATTATAATATACCTATTGTAAAAATAAATATGTATTTAGAATGTACTAAAATTCCACAACCTCTATTTGTACTGTTAATGTTAAAATTAAAAACATCTGGCTTCCTAAAATATTTTAGTTATAACAATGCTGATGATAAATTGGCCCATAGTGAAAATAATTCATATATACGCCACTAGTATTCACCTATTCTATGTAAATTTGATCTTCACTAAGCATTACCAATATTTCAATCAGTTTGATGCTCTGTTGATACATAGTTCTGTGCATATAACATTATTGCTTGTTAACAACATTGTTTTGATTGTTTCAAAATGTTTTCAGCGTCGCGGCTTCCAAAATGAGTTAAAAATAAAATCAGCCAATTAGTGACTCACATCTTATCACTACCCGCTTCTAAAATATACTAATTTGAGCCTAATTATAGATTTTATCAGTTATAAATATTTTTTTGCTTATACGGAACAGCTACTTGTATACGTTAGTTACGGAAAGAAAAATTTTCTAATTATTTGTATATTTTCTTGTTGCTTAAAAAATATAAGTTAAGTTTTTTTCAAGTTTTTTAATTATTTCCGACTTCCTGGTTGGGAAATGATGATTAAACACAATTTACCATAGTCGTTGTTAATGTTAATTCTATTAACTTAATAAAATTTTATCCATGATCATATCTAGTACGGAATATTTACATTGGACAGACATGCAACATTTAAAGAAAGAAATTATAAAACAATATTTTAATGTCATGTTCTGTTTAATATGAACCATATTTTATCCGTCAAATGACCCTTTGTCTATATACTCTAGGAGATCTATAAGTTTAAGCTGTAAGATACACTTATACAAGACTATATTTATGGTGAGGGGGAGCTAAGGATAGTTAGGTCAGTCTCTCGGAATTTCAGAAAAAAAATTCTAGTTTGCTTTTACCCTATATAGTTTCAATTATAGAAACTCATTTATCATTATTTTATGAACTATTAGTTTCAAATTTTTTATTTTATGTAGTGTAACTATTAATTTTCTAATATTATTATTATTATATACTAAGGTATTTTATTTCATTAATTTTGTAAAGTAAGTTATGATTATACAATAAAAATAAAAATGATTCACTAAAATTTTAATTTTTGTTTTTAATTGGTAGAAATGTGAAATTTTGTTCGGGGAAATTTTCCAGCCTTCAAAAAAAAATATCCAAATATGTCCCTGAACTGTATTGTATCTGCAAACTTTTAAAGCTCACAATATAATATATTTCTGTTAATGGTGTATAAGGCGCACACTGCTTCCTGTTTGTACTATGATATATAAGTAGGTGGATATTCGCTAAACCACTGTATATATATTCGCATAAATTAATTGATTACTGTGCGTTATGAATTATAATGTTATCATGATGTATTGTAACTTATACTGTAACTTAACACGTATACTGTTGGCAAATAATATGCAAGTATTTATTAGTAAGATATTTATTGACTAACAAAAATAACGGATCATTCATAAGGAACTTTAAGTGGTTTTAAGAACGTTCAAGTGTTTGAGATCTATAATTGATTTTAAGAACGTTCAAGTATTTGATGTCTCCTTTGCACTTGTATGCTACAACATATGATACTTAACCATAACACTTTTGTTTTACGAGTACACAAATATTTCAATATTTTTATGTATTTATTTTGTTTATTAATAATTAAAATATTGTGTGGTTTCAGTACATAACAGAAAGCATATTAAAACGAATAACGATTGTGCTCTGGTTAACTGTATTATGTCTAGTTTGTGCGCCCTTCTTCGGGTTCGGTATCTATTGGAATGATAATTTGAAGAAGTGTAGCCGTATTCGTGATGCTAAAGAATCTTTGGACGTGATTTACGCTTACGTGTTCTTCAGCTTTGGTAAGCATAAGTGACAGCGTTTAATAAATTACTATCTTTTCAATGATATATTTATATATTTATCCAGTACTAGTTTTTTGCTAGAGGGTCGAAAACAAAATGTTCATAGTGTTATGTTACCGTGTTAAATCTCATCGAGTATAATGATGATATGTACATATTATATAGTTTTAGTTTACCAATTTACCTCATTTTAGGTGTAGTACTGTGTATCGTGATAACCTGCTCAAATTTGGATGTGATAATAGCACTGTGTACGAAAGAAAGGAACAATCACATTAATCTTAACAAAGTCAATGCTGATACGAGCAGTGGAGCATTGGTTCGTAATGTGGACCGCAATAATGAAGAAAGATTGTTCAGTTGGCTCATGTTATTCTTGTGTGTTTCGTTCGTCGTATGTTGGCTCCCACAACTGGTATGGACAACATTTTTTAAACATTTTATTTATTCATATCGTATAGTTAGATAAAGGTAGATAAATTGATTAGTCTTTATTAAATATGTAAACAATTCTTAAAAATAATACTTACTTATAGGCACAATTTAAATAATATAACTAAACATATATTGTAGTAGTACAACATTTAAAATAATAGTAATTAATTATAAAGTTAATAAATATTAATATTAATAAAGTTAGTTTTGATTCATTTTAAATTTTTATTATTTTTCAACTTTTTTACTTTTAAGTTCAATTTTTCGAATTTTTTGAATAAATCTACTGGTATTTATTTATCAAGATGAATTATGATAGATAACTCAAGAATTCATCTAAGATAATTTTGTCAAGATAAAAGTGAATTAAATATTTATCTAGATAATTTATTTTTGATAATTTATCCAAGATGATGTTTAACACTGGTTAAGGGCTTCATCTGTCGATGTTAGATGTTGAGAAGGTGGCGTGATGAGTATTTTGGTCAGTCGGTAATGATTTAGGCGATTGTGATAGGGACTTAGCATATGACACACGAGTGTGAGAAATTATATTTGGTTATAGTCGTCTATTCTGACTCTGTTAATAATAATCATTTATTTTTACCTACTTGAATTGTCTGTGTATGTCCATTTGGATATTGAATTTGATTGATGTTTCTCAATATCTTATCAGATATGATGGAGTTCCGTTGGTTTTACGTGTTTTTGTTATTAGTAGCTTCATTGTATGCTATAGCATTTTGCGTCATTGCGTCTAATTTTTAATTTCCTGAAATTCCTAAAAGTGATTGGCCCCACATAAATTTTATTTTATTTTTTTGCTTTGAAGACAGTTTTTTATATTATATACATGACATAATTAGCATATTATACTGTACCAGTTCGTTTTTCAGGTGTTGAGTGTTTAGGTACAGAGAGATTCCTGTTTATTAATTGATGGAGCAATTGTATAAGTATTGTGTTAACATGTATATTGCCTATGTTTTTACTGTGTAAATACTGATAAATGAAGAGAGTTGGTAGATTTTGACTTAAGGTTCTTGTATATTATTTGCGTTCGAATCGTTGATTATTTGATTATGATTGGCTGATTATTTTATACTCCGATATAATAATATTATATCAAATAATAATAATGGGTGCATTTTTTTTTTTTGATTAGCGTTACTAAGTATAAATCCTATCGCAAAACTCCAATTTTACCGACATTCGACTTATGTCTCATTTTATGTATTTAATATAACTGATAACATTTTTCATGAACATTGTAATTAATGATACTGCGAATAAATAATAAAATAACTAAATATTGTGTTTTGTATTTCCTTAGCTGTCAATTCCGCTAGCTCAATTTTTTCAAAATGCAGCAAAGCTGAATGTGTTCTATAAAATTGCTGACTTGTTGTTGGTGCTACATTTCTCGTTGGATCCTTACTTGTACGTACTACAACAATGGAAGCTGGTCAGATCTACTTTAACATGGTCAAAGTACACAAGAAACAACACCGTTAGTGATTCCAGCGTAACGAGAGCATCGTTAGTTTGAATACGTTTACAGATATGGCAAAAATGCATTCTTACATTAATTTACGATTGATGTTTGTTAACCAAAAAACAGTGTATAATAGTCAGCTTATTTTGATTGCAAAATTTAGTATCTTAAAAAATGCTCAAACATTTAACATAAATCAAGTTGTGTCATTATTTGATTAGATTACAGTTAAGTTTGATAACATCTTTTAGGGTTGCAGTTTTTCATATAGTCCTTTTCAATAAGTTGTCGAAAAGTGTTAGACAAAAAGATTTGTATTTATCTTTTTTTTATAAATAATTTCTTATGATTAAAATCGCTAGATAGTCAGTAAGTTATTAACATAATGTTATTTTAAAACATTGATATTTATTTACGTAGTATTATATTATATAATTTTACATGTTGATGAAAATTATTGAATTGGTTATTTTCAAATCTGCTATCTTATTTTAAGGTTGTTCATATAATATTATATTATGTTGCATAAATTATGAATAATTCTTGTAGGATGATAGTGAATGGCATGTCTTGTAACTTTTTTAATTTGACTTTGTTGTTATTTAATCTTTATATTTTACACATAAATATTTTAGTCATTATGTATTGATTTTCGTACTTTTTGTATAATGAAGAACTTGTAAAACCATTTAAAATAATGAACCATGAAATTGATGGCTGAATTCGTTTTTATGATACAACGTAATTTATTGTATATTTAGATATATTTAAAATAAATGTTTCAATATTGAAATCTAATAAAATATTACAAAAGTAAATTCAAATTTAGTAAATGGTAACTTACTCGTACCTATATTAATAAATATTTATACATAGTCATTTAATTAAAAATGTTAGTATAATATAATATTATTATAGTATTATTTTTGATAATAAATATAAGAAAATAAATAAAATTGTATATTCAATAGTTTGGGAATATTATGGAAGCTTTTGTGGGTATAAATGAAAAGGAATGTTGTATACAAGTTGCAGTTAAAATATAAAAATACGTTACTAGTTTTTTTTTGTATGCGTTTGGGTGATGAAGAGATAACACAGTGCATACGATTCATGACAGTTATTGCTCTTACGACGAATATACGTCATTTTGACGCAGTAATCTCGACGCGCGTCAAATGGACGCGGTCATTTGGACAAACGACAATTGGGCGCATGCGTCAATTAGACACATACAACTTTGATGTGATCACTTTTAGACGTGAGTAAATGTTGACGTAAAACAAAAATAAAATGTATATAATATATTTTTTTATAATTTACCTTGCATTGTATGTACTTGTCCAGGACAATTTTTGATTTCATTGCATCTCCATCTTTCACCTCTATCTTTTTTATGAATATATCTATTATGGATTAAGAGATCTCTTCCCCGTTGACTTATTATGAATTCTAATGGCATATAATAAGAACTAAGTACTCACTGCGCGATGTAAATAAAGTACCCTAACGCACACGTGTACTTATAATGTACAGGTATAATTGAACGTTAAACCGTAATAAAGATAATGTTGAAATATACTATTTAAATATATGTATGTAAGATATAATATATAGACATAAAGATACCAAGTTTTTACGTTGAATTTGGCTAGTATGAAAGTTATATTTATTTATTTTTTTTTCATTTTTGTATCGAAACGACCATCCGGGCCTTCATCGATGGCTTTTTCGCTTGGGAGGGGTAGAGTGCAGTAAATGGCACTTGTACTCCCTTCTCTAAGAAGAGTATTTTTACGTGTGTGGACTTCACTCCCAGTGGAGTGAATTCAGTGGTAGGCAGCATAGGTAACCAGAATGATCTACAGAAAACTCTGCATAATATTTTTTTCACTGAGCCGGGTTCCAACTGCTGACTGCACGTGTCGTGGCCCACATTGCACCACTCTGCCTCTCGTATGTTATATATATATTTTATTTTTCTTCGTCCAATGACCGCGTCCATTTAACGCGCGTCGTGATTACCGCGTTGAAATGACGGGACACCCTTACAACGATTTGCAATATCCATTGATATTTTGGGAAGGAGAAAATGGATATCATTTAAATATCAAACAAATAAATCCAACAACAGGTATAATCTACACATGTCATTACCTAATTTTTTTAATGAATATAAGATTATACAACTGTACTGATGGTTTTTTTCATGACCAGATTTATCACATCGGAAGTATCGATATTTTATATAATTCATTATATTTATGATTAGGGTTCGGGTTTTTTTGCATTTGTATATTCTTTAATTATGACTGTCAAATAATTTGAGTAAAATATTTATTCATTTTATGACTTAATGGACTAAATACACATTCATGCATATTTTAGGCTAAATACATATTAGACAGATTTTTGCAATTTAATTTTTATTTGGAGCATATTTACTTATTTTTTCGTTTTATGTTAAGTTAATTTATTTTAAAGATTGACATTTTTGTTATTCCTTCTTTCATACGTCAGTTAATAAATAACGTTCAATACATTGAATCATAAAATGAGTCATCACATCATCATCGATCTTGGGAATTAGGGAAGTAATTAACTTTTTCTGTGTATAATTATTTTTATTTGTAAATTATTACTAAATTTGTAATGGAAAAAGATAATTTATTAAACAATCGTGGAAATTAGCTATTGAGTAAAGTATTTCTGTGGTATACATAAAAAATTAAAAATTATAAAAATAAAACTTGACACTGTGTTGGTGGAAAATGAGGTTTACAAATCTATCTTATCTGAAGATATTAAAATTAAATTACTTGGTGTATTTTATTTATAAATATTCTCTAATAACGTTAGCAGACGTGGAACGTTCATTTTAAATTTATAGAAATATGCTGATTAATGATCGCTGTGAAATAATAATTTATAAAATCATTATGGATAGTGAAAAAATAATTCTTATTAAATAATATAATAAAATTATTCTATTTCAAAACATTTTAAATACTTTATAATTTTAATATAATTTAAATAAAAAATAGTTAATTTGTAATCTTACATAAAAATAGAATAACAACTTATTACTTTAATACCTTAAATAATTAAATTTATAGGAAAATAATGATACTTTTTTGTTTTTATAACATTTTATTGAAGAAAGGTTAAAAATTACAAAAATTAATTTATCGTTTTTTTCATTGCAAAAGTTTCAATTACCAAGTAGCTAAGTATTTACTTGGTGTTTTGTTAATGAATCATAAAAACATAGACAGTTTTTCATTTTGTACGTACTTTTCCTATTTAATTTTACTTTTTACCATCCCGCTTAAATATTGCCTCAATATAATGACAATACTTACCTAATTTCATAAAGGATATATACGAAAATCTTAACTAAATATAATCAAAATTAAAATAATTTTCGAATGACAGCCGACAGACAACTTGATTACTAAAAATTAGAAAACCATAAGTATGAATTAAACTTTACCAAAATAAAATAAATAAAATAAAATTAATGCTTATCATCAGAAAAAACAATAATGTACTCGGTTTATTGATTTTATAATTGTCATCATGATCGATCAAACGCTAAATGCATACGCTGTGACATCATAGATATAAAACTACTGAAAAATCAATAATTATCATATGAGTCGTCCAGTTGCAAAAGGTAGTATGTCCAAACAAATAAAGTTTTCACAAACAGCAAAAAACTGATATTTCCATTAATATTTTAAAAAACGTCACCATTTTTTTTTCATAAATATATATAAAAAAAAAACATTTTACTTTTTTTAGACTATAGAAATCGTGGATAAGTAGTTTTTTAAATAATTTATATTTAAAATTGGACATATTCCCTTTTGCAACTAAAATATGGACATACTACCTTTTGCAACTGGACGACTCATATATAGTATCATTTAAAAATCTATGAACAGATAGTAGGTATAAAATATATTCTATTGGTTAGGTTAAGTTAAGTCCACTCAAGGATTTTCAATCGTTATTATTTTAATATTTTATGAGGTAACTGGTTATCACTGTAGTGTGGAACAACAAAATAACAAATATTCTTAATAACTAACAATTGGAATAAAATATACTAAACCCAAAACGTGAATTGATTAAAAATAAAAATAAAATAAATATAAGTGAATTTGATAAGAATACAAATTTTCTGCAGCTTTTAGTGCCCTCAGTATTTGGGACCAAGTTTAATTTACCTTCGCACCTGCATAAATCTGGCCTTGTGTACAATTCAACTTTGCAGGTAAATATGGTATTATTTTTAATTTTTTATTAATACATAACCTTTTTCATATTGTAGGAACAAAGAAAGAAGAAAATCAATTTCATCTTACAAAGTAATATTAAGATTTTATACTTATTATAGAGTTATTGGTGTTAAAAAGTAACTAAATAAAAAAATTGTCTACATTTAAAATGTAATAAATCAAATAAAAATTCTTTTTAATTGCTATCAAAAAAAATTCAATTATATATTTCGATTATTTCAACTGCAGGTTCGCATGTATATTTCATATAATTTGTATGCATACGCCTGTTCATGAATATTGATGATCATAATATTGTAGCTAAGGTATCAAGTACGGCGTAGAAATGTTGGTCAACATGAATGTACCTGAATTGCCTATCCAAAGCGCCGTACGTTGTTTTTTGCGTATTAAACACAGTTTTTTATTTATTTATTTTTTTGTGTAGTAAGTTATAGTTTTTTTTATGATGTTTATGATCAAATATGGATATTAAAACATTATGGATTGTACTAAAAATTAACATCAACCACAGTAATTTAACGTTATAATAATTAAAATCTGTATCGTAACATGCTGGTGCAAGATTATTGATTTTTCAGTTGTTAATTCTTAATCGATGATATTACCGTGAGATCGTAAAAGTATTAAATTTAATCGTAAAATATCGTCATTTAGGCAGTGGCACTGAAATCAAACGATTCAGATAGGGCATATGCTCATAAAACAATGAGGCCTGGCCACCGACCCACGATTGAATTTAGAGCCTAATAATAATAATTACATTACTTGAACAATAATATTAGATAAATAAGACACATGGATTAATCTTATAGACAATGTATACTAAGCAATAGATTACCAACCATATTTGTTTATAATTTACAATAACTAGTGACTCCCTGTCCCGACCACTGATCCCTACCGGTTTAGGATCAAAATTGCAACAGACCTCTCGATTGATTATAACAGGTAACTAAATAGGAAGGCCGGACAGGGCAGACGCCAGAGGTGTGGAGCAGAGTTTTAGCCATGAATTTGATAAGAACGGGCTGACCCTACAGGATGCCTCAGTGGCGGATAGGAGCTTTAGCCATGACTCCAAGAAGAGCGGGCACACCCTTCGGGATGCCAAGAAGGCATGGAGTTATAGCCAT